TAGAGACAATAATAATAATAATAATAATAATAATAATAATAATAATAATAATAATAATAATAATAATAAGTAGGCGATGTAGGTTGATCGTCCGTAGACGTCCTGAATAGACAAACTTGATTATCGCGTTATGCACTTCAAAAATTAAAGGTCATCGGCTAACTAGCTTTAATTGTCTAAGTCAGGAGATTTTAAAACTTCGCAATCGATCAAATGGCTGCACTGATCGCTGTGTAACTGCGCCTTGCCTTAAAACTGCTGCATGATGCAAAAACGGGTCAACTTCTAATTTGAAAACCTAAGCATATGAAAATAAAGCTAGTCGTGTACTTAGCAGTTACTTAATTTCTAAAATAAATGGGAATATACTAATGGATTAGGAATTGCTGTGCAAATTGACCTGAGTGCTGTCAGCAAATGACAAGGAGTAGGCTGCGGTTGAGTCTCGTGCGTTACCACTTTTTACATGCAATTTGCATTGAACGACAATATCCTGGCCCCAAATGGCCTCGACCGCAAGCTCGCTCCAGTTCACTACCGAGGGCATAAATATAGGGCGCTTACCATTTCCTGTTCACTTGTTTGTTTGTTTCTAAGTTAAAAGTCTTTACATGGGTGTCTTTTGCAGGTTTAAAGTTTATTGCTAATAACAAGTAAAATGTCAATATTAACAGAAAGCTTAAATTTTAGGCTTTACGTAATTGCTATTATAAGATTATAAATTAAAACGCTTTGTACAATATGTGATCAATAAAAGCAAGGAAATAAATAAATAGGAAAATCTGTCTAGTAAGTGACAATCATCCAAGCAAAAGCGCCTGTCTCTGCCCATGTAATAAGCAGTCGCCGACTTTATGTGCTGGCTTCTTAGGAATCCACAGAGAGACCACTTTATTTTGAGTTTTCCTTGACTACTGAAAGAGCAAAATTGTAGACTGACTTAAAAACGTTTAAAAGTTGCGAGATCCATATATTTCCTTGTAGAAAAGAGAAGGATCTTTTGACAAATTTAAGGGAACCCTATATCATGTAAGTTCAAAGACCATTTTTGAAACTTATAACGAACAATTTTTTCTGCTTCTCTCTCATGGACTTCTTCTCTCAATGAAATCCATGATCTTTACAATAAATTAAATTACATATTTACACACAAATTGTCGTTATAGAGTCATTGGAAGCCTGTTCATTCAGTCGCAGTTGGGCGAGAGGCCTGCAGAAAAAAAAAATAGAGAAGGGTTATGCTATAAAACAAAAACGTCATAACGGTCGAACGCTAAAAACGCTTATGGTCCTTTCATGTAAGCGGTTACCAGGGAGACTCCAACAATCTGAAAAAATTAAATTAGGCTTTGACACTGTAAGCGGAAGTAAAAGTTTTTTCATTGCCTAACTGACCTTTACCTTTTTCGCCTTCAGCTTCAATTTTCTTTTCCAGGCAATTTCTGCGATCAGCACAAGGGATGACAAGACCAATCCAACGCCCAAGACAACATACACTCCCGCCATACTTGTTAAGCCGATTCTCTTTTGCGACAAAACTAAGGGAAAATAGCGAATGTTTAGATTTAGACCTGAAAAAAGGTTCTCAAAGAACCAGGTATAAGTTGGAACCCATAGTGTTTTATCTTTTCCGTAGCAAGAGGTTATTTGTTAGGTCTGCTCATTGCAAGCAGTACGTTTTCACTTAATAACCTCATAAGAATATAAATGAGATGTCTTTGCATCGGGTATTCACTCGAGAAACGTATATTCTAAGGTTTCAAAAGATGAGACCGTGAACATTTGTTTAATAAAGAGAACACCTCGTGGTATTTCTGTTTCAATATACTCCATGGCGGGGAAGTTATAACTGGTTTCACTATAAGCTATTGCTTTCCCTAACGGAGACGAGTCATTATCATTTTCGCTTTTATCATCATTTTAACTGTTTGTAGATAGTACGCATTGGTACATTAATGCGGTCCTAGGGATTAGTGACCTCTCGCTCTATAGCTCCCAGCTACAAACTGAGCAATCTCTTCCGCGGTGAAGCTAATTTTTCTTAGTTCCAGGTTGTTTTTACAAATTTCAGAACTAAGTATTACAGACTTTGTACTGCTGACAGATCCTTTCCGCAACAGGGCGAAATCATTACTATCCTTTGTAGGCCCTAAATTTTTGAAATGGGCGAATTTCAACAACCAGCTTTTAATAGCCTCTTTTGTGCAACTGCTGGCCGCAATCTGTACAGACAAGGCTGGTCTTGAACCAATCCTAAAATTTGACGAATCCAAGAGTTCCGTAAGTTTCCTTTGAGGCCTTTACAGTTTTTTTTTTTTTTTAACGTATCAAAGAGACTGAAAATTCTACTGAGGAAAGCTCATGTCTTCAATATTCTTACCTGTGTCTTTTTCTTTAGCACATCCAGTGGAAGACTCCCACCACTTACGTTTCAGGTTTTCTAGGAAACCATTTTCTTGTAAGCGCAAAATGGCCAGTGTAAAATCTGTTACATATGGATCATTCGCTTGGAAAGCGAGACCAAGTCCTTTGGCGTTGCTTAAACCTGGCACTGAGAAGAGTTTTCGGATCATTTTACGTTTCTGTGAAACTGCTCACCTACCCCTTCCCTAAGCCAACATTTTGCCCTAAATAAGAACTAAGGGTTAACGTTGGTTTAGGGGAGGGGTAGGTGGGCAGTTTCACAGAGACGTAAAATGATCCGAGTTTTCGTTATCATTTCATTTATGCCATGCACTTTTGCATCACATAAAAAGAAAAGTAACTAAAAATTCAATAATTCAAATTATCCTTTTAAGGCAATTTACTCTTATTCTACTTGAGGTAAGTAAATTTGTACTTAAAGTACCGTACTGGCATTTTTGGCTGTCACTGGCGTGCAACTGGAAAATTGGTGATTTTAAATCTTTTATGCGTTATTTTCTGAAAATGTTCATCTACATTAACCTTTTTTTGTTAAGTTGCGCCCTCTTTCTACTTTATTTTTTTCTAATAAATGATACGATTCTCTGTTTTGCGTATCAAAATCCAGAGTAAACTGCTGCAAACTTTATCTTCTCATGTGGCATCCTACAGTTACGCGGGTTGCATGTATGACTAAATTATAGCAAAACTGAATAACCTTTGAAAAGTTTTTTTTACGGCTTTGTGGCTGAGACGAGCAGCGACAACATAAGAATCCGCCTCATTTTGATTTTATATGAAAATTTTGATTTATCATCCCTGAAATGGAGAAGAAGGACATCTTTTCACTTTTTTTTTGTTAGCGAGGTAACAATATATGCCATTTTTTATTCTGCTGCTTTTTGGTTAACATTTATAACTTTCTTATTCCCACAAAAGCTTATAAGTTAAGTTACTGAAAAGAAAATAGTTATAATTAACTTTCAATTAATGAATGAGGCTGTAGGATATGAAGAATTAAGCAGATCGAAGAGGGTGTTATCCATCGAGGCCGAAGGCCGAGGTGAATAACACCCTCCAAGATCTGCTTAATTCTTTTTATCCTACGAAAGCCGAATTCATTAATTGCTTTATAATTCATTCAAAACAATTCCTAGTTTAAAAACATAGCTAAAACATGCTTACCTGCATCGATATTGAGTTCATCTTCGATAGTGTACGTTTAGGTTTGTCCAGCTCTGCAAATATTCTCCAAATAGCAGATTTCGCCTTCCGAGTTGTTTTCTTGCTGTTTTTGCCGTATTTTTATCTATTATTTCGCTTAGTTCCAACTGTAGTTCTTACTCTTGAAACGAGTGAAATGTCCGCCATTTTTTTTTCCACAACCAAAACAACTCAACCTCGTCCCCAGGTCTTCTCGGTAACGGTGCCTTAATCTGTAGCGGGCTGCATTTTTGACGTCATTTCCTCGTTAAACCCAAAATTCTTCCAAATTTGGTCATTAGTAACTGGTTATGGTGAATTATGCGTGTGCTTTTAGCCAATCAGAATTAGGGAAATGTTTTGAATGAATAATAATATAAATTAAACACTTAATTCAACATATCAGTGTGCGTACGAAGACGAGCTGATATTCTTAAAGTAAAAATGAATCAGTACTGTCTGAAATTAGTACATAAATAATGTTTCAGCGTTTTAAAATGTCAGTTGATCTTCTACGCTAACCTGTTATTAGATCGCAGGGTGGCTTGTTGGCAATATGTCGAACGGTTGGCCCATCATAAATAAATACATAGTCATCCTTTCCGCCACGGATTAACTGAACAGCTTCACTTGTGTTCTGAGTCAAAGAGTTGCTAGCTTGAATTCTGTGCCAAATCCTTCTGTGAGTTTCAAAATTGCTTGTCTCGAAAAACTCATGAACAGCTCCTGCTTGTAATGTGGTAACTTTATAAGAAGAAGCTAGCAAGTCGTCCAGGTTATTAATGGGTGTCGCAGCATTTTTTACAGTTAAAAAAGCTGCGAGATTTGCGGTGTACGTCGAAACCCAGACAAGAATGCAAAACCAATAACACCCAGCAAGAATACGACCTTGTGCAAGAAAAGAATGTTAAAAACTTAATTAAGGCAAACTTGATAATTATCTCTAGCGATATCGGATACGTTCAATCAATCATCTTGTTAATTGACAGCTAGTCTCATGATACAAACGAGTTTTAACAAATTGGTGTGCAAAAAAAGTGACTAAACAGAAATGTAAATACTCTAAAAATCAATGCGATGAAACCTCCCCTTAACTCTGTACCTGACAAGCTTCGAGGCTGGCTCTCAGACCCTTGCTGCAGCATGCAAGCCACTGCAAACCAGACGCTGTTGAAGAAACTAAACTCTTCAGAGGTCCCCCGACCATTCGCATCTTTGTTACCGTATGGACTAAAGTAGTTTATCACAAATATTGAAACGGAAATAACTACCATAGTAGCTAAAGTTGCAAACCAAACGTCGTTGTGAAAAGGATTCAAAAACTGCAGAAAATCAATTGATCCATTGTTGAACGATGTTTTTTTGAGGAGCATGTCTTCAGTGTAATACATCAAGGGAACAGTGAAGTCAACCACCTTTTCACGGCTTTCAGTTAAGGTCAGAACTCCGGTAACATCTGCATGCTATTGAGAAAAAAGGTATACTTATTAAGAATAGCAACCCTTCTTTCTTCCACAATAGTTTTTGGAAGAAACTTAATATTTTTTGTTTAAAATTAGCCGACGTTAGTTTAATTGTTCAGCAAAAACATTTTTCGTCTGAAAATGAAATGAGCTGAGACGTTATTAACTCAGTGGTCACATATGGTCGTGTGATAGCTTCCCTCTTAAATTTAGCAAAAATCTTGCAAACTGTAGTTAGCTAGTTTGTTTTTACCTGGATGATTCGTTACCGATTTCACTGCTACTATAAAGTCTATTAATCGTATGAAGATTCTATTTTGTTTTTCTAACCTTGTTGAGTATCTCTCCTATCAAGCCATTCCAAGATCCGTTATTCGTTTCAACGCCGAAAAACCCGTCAGCGGAACGTTTGATATGATATGTGAAATGAAGTGTTTTTGCAAGTTCGTTTAGCAGATCAATGAAGTATCCTTCATATGCATCCTGTCCATCATCCTGTCTTTTCCTGAAGACAAACGGCTCTTCCTGTGATGTATAACAAAGGAAATGAAAGCTATAGCTACGACGCCAATTTTAACACGAAGATCATTGCGGCTAGATTAATAGTAGGTAATTTTTCCCAAGTGTCAGCAACTCTACGTACCTTAAAAAATACCTCAAACACCCTTTACCATGATTTTGAATATCTACTTGGAATCGCAAAACAAAATCATGGTTCCACAGTTATCCGAAGTTCAAGAAAATCTTGCCAGCAACGCGTTTTTAAGTCTAAGGCTGTTGCCACTGTGACACTTAACTTGGCGAAAAGGTAGGCAAATAGGTACCGTAATAATACTTCTACAAAGTCACGCCGGTATCTAAATTGGCCCCTAATGTTGTGCCGTCATAAGATTATTCAAAACTGATCACTGCGAGGAAGTGAAAACCACAAATTGTGACGCGCGAGTTTCGAGACTTGATAATGGTGATGACGATAATGATAACCATTCTTAGCTAGTAATTATCTTCATCATTAAGCTAGAATTTTAAACGTATCTACTATCTTAGAGCCTGGCACAGGCTTAGAAATTCGAGGAACACTTACGCAAATACATCATGCGTACCTCTGAAATAACAACTCTTAGAAATTTTCCTTCAATGCTTCTGCCTCTGTTAGACTCATTCATATTAGGGCATATGTTTTCAAACACCACAGCTTTCTTAGTTGAATTCCAAGTCCCTATCTGACAGCAAAAAATAAAGTAAACAAACTAGAACGAGACAATGACAATAATAAAACAATAATGATAATAATTACAATTATAATAATTTATAATAAATCGTTGAAAACGAATTTTGAAAAAGCTACATAAATATTGATACCTCAAAATGAAGCTTTTCCTATAAATTGCAATATGAATATCACGAACATAAAACAGTCATAATAGTAAAAAAATAATTAAATAAAAAACGGTGATCTTTTTCCAAAACACTCCTGAAACATTGTTATAGAGGGTTTCTTTTCCTTTTACTTTTTAAGAAAAAAAACTGCCGAAGATTTAATTATTAAGGAAATATGAGAACAGTTTATAACTCTTTCCATCTTCGACTTTTCGCTATCTTTTCTTCAATTGCTGTTAAACATCTCTAGCCCGTAGTTCGAGGATGCCTAACCTCTCATAAGCTCCTATAGTTTCTGTTGTGGCACATAAAATAATAATAATAATAATAATAATAATAATAATAATAATAATAATAAAAACATTAATAATAATAATAATAATAAAAACATTAATAATAGTAATAATAATAATAATAAACCACGACAAGGGCATGATGACATCCAGACCTATCAAAACCAAAAGTGGCATCTATCAGTGAGACTCTCTGTCACCTCTAGTCTTTTGTCTTGCTCTTGCTCCTCTAAGCTCCCTCCTGAACAAGAGTGGCTATGGGTACAACACCTCCCACGGAAAGATCAGCCACCTCTTCTACATGGATGAAGAGAAGACCTACACGCAAAAAAAGACGACGAACTAACGGACATGTTGAGAACCATCAAATCTTTCATTGACGACATAAGCATGGAGTTCGGATAGGACAAGTGCGCCAAAGCCACCTTCAAGAGAGGGCGACTAGCCGACTCCAGTAACATCGAGCTCGACGTCAACACCATCATACAGAACTTAGATCAGGAAGGTACCTATAAGTACCTCGGAGTCAGCGAGGGAGACGGAGTCCAGCACTCTCAGATGAAAGAGAAGATCCGGAAAGAGTACTACTGCAGGATCCGGATGGTACTCAAGTCGGAGCTGAACTCCGCAAATAAACTGGAAGCCATCAACACCTTGAAAGTACCGGTGGTAACTTACAGTTTTAACACCATAAACTGGACGTTACAAGAGCTGGCCAAACTTGATACAAAGACTAGAAACTTCCTGAACATGTACAAGATGCACCACCCCAAATCTGACGTGGACAGGCTGTACCTGCCCAGAAATGAAGGAGGTGGAGGCTTCATACAACTGGAGCTTTCCTACGAGTCAACCACTATCGGTCTTGATAAATACTTCCAGGAGACGCAGGATTCCCTTCTCCACTTTGTCAAAAGGCCATGACGACCGGAAGTCCTTGTACTCCATCAGCAGACAGTCAATGAAATTTATTCGGGAATTGGCAGTACCACCTGCAGAGGATGAGGTGAATACCACCTAAGCTGCAGAACAAAGGCCAAGGCCAAACACCAGGGTCGCCAACAGCTTAGGTCCAAGTGGGAATCAAAAGCGCTCCACGGCAAATACCCACAATGGGTGAAACAGGCTGACATGGACCAAGACAATACCCACAGATGGCTAAACCGAGGGCTTCATAATCGCAGCCCAGGATCAAAGCCTCCCAACACGCTGGTACCAACACAACATCCTCAAGAAGCCTAACTTGGACCCAAAATGTAGACTGTGTGGCCGTTTCGACGAGACCATTGACCACCTGGTCTCTGGCTGCCCTGAACTGGCTAAAACTGAATATATTCACCGCCACAACAAGGCAGCTGCACACATGCACTGGAAGATCTGCAAAGAGTTTGGCATTGAAGTGAAGGAACGATGGTATGAGCATGAACCCAAGACTGTCACTGAGAATGACAGCGTCACTATTCTGTGGGACATGCCCATCCACACTGATAGGACCATAGCAGCTAAAAGGCCGGACATTGTGCTTAACAACAAGAAGGATAAACCCTTCGAGACCAACACCTCAGTCAAAACCACAGAAAAGCTTAACAATTACAAAGACTTGGAAATCAACTTTTTTGAATATACAGTTGTAAATCTCGCGTCGTATATGCGATTTACAATTGCTGCTTGAGATTGGATTAATTAAAAAAAAAAGAAAGAAAGAAAAAAGAAAAGAAAAGAAAAGAAAAGAAATCAAAATTTCATTAAGTCTGGGCTATCCCAATTCCTATTTCTACAACAAAAGATGTAATGCGTTGCTCTAATGATAATAATAATAATGATGATGATAATAATAATAATAATAATAATAATAATAATAATAATAATAACAACAACAATGAATATTCATGCTTGGATACATGATTTATTTGCAGTTTTTTTCTTAACTGCTGTTAAACATTTTCTTAATTTTGGACCATTTTAGGTAACACCAATTTGAATTGTTACCATTAAGAGGTTTTAACTCTTCCTGCACCGTTTATTTGAGCGGATATCCGAGCTTTATTTCAATCCTTGCCTGAAAGGAATTGGTTGACCACTTCATGGTACTTACTTGCTGAAAGGAATCGTTTCTCAGATTCAAAATTTCCAGCTGCACTGCTGCTCTTTCTCCATCCTCGTTAAATCTGACAGATCCTGTTATACCGTCAAAGTTTACCTGTCGAATGCACATGAGATTTTTTTTTATTAATATAGCATCAAAAGCTTTTCATACTAAGGATTTTGCTCAATTTCGGTTTTCCTGCATAATTTATTCATGAACACGTTATGATGGAAGAAAAAAAAAAATAAGGAAAAGGAAGGAAAATCAGTACATATTGAAACACTCGGACTACTATTTTTCGGTCTGCACTTGCCCAAAACAACTGGTTTAACTTTACCTTCGTCATACACGAAAACAATGCATCTCGATCTTCGGAAGTAACGGCCGAGCCGTTTATTGATACACATGGCTCTATATTCTGGGACTGCTTGATTATCTGCACTGCATCGTAGGCAATAGCAACAAGTTCCTGTATGGAATATATCAGTGCACGAAGTCGGTTACAACAACAACTACAACAACAAACAACAATCTTTATTGTGCTCTTGATACTAAAGAAGGAGTAAAGTAATTTAAAGGAAATAATTGCGAAAAAAAAAAAAAATGAGAGCAAAGCCACTCAGGAACAGCAAAAGTTAATCGGCCATGCGAGAAATTGAGTTATCCACTTTGTCCAGTGGATAACGCAATTGGTTTCTTTAACTACTTATCGGCTGGATAGTGCTATCTAACGTTTGTTCAACCGGGGCCTGGTGTACAACTGATTGAGGTGACGTGTGTTAGTTCTTTGCCTTGTAGTTGTGGTATTCAAGAGATCGTAGGTTCAAACAACTTTTTCAGGAAGACCATCATTTCTAAAAAGTTTCTCAGAGAGCTTCGCTTTTGGCCTTGGCTAAATCTACACATTACCTTTCGAGAATAGTTAGCACTGATTCCCCTTTCTTTTTCCCTGAGTTCCTCGGGAGCCAGTTTCCTGTTATATGGAAGCTTGAAAGCCAAAACCACATGCATGGGTCGACTTTTTAGGCTTCCTGGTACCTATAAAAAGGGTGACTTATTATTCATATCATTGACCGGGTAGACCCTAGTAGGATTATCCATTTATTATTTTCCAGAAGAACAGAAAGAAAAGAAGCGATGAATACAGCATTCTCTAGACGTTAAGTTGCTCAAAATGTATATTTTTGGCTAAATCATATTTTCCAGCTTTAAAGGACTTTATCAACTGGACAGATGATTTTGCGATTAAAAAGCCCAGAAGCAGCCATTAACAACGACATTTTACACGTATGAAATATTTGATGAAGACAGAGAATTAGTCACTACATGGCTTTGTTTATTCTTGGTCTTACTAAAATTTGCTAGCTGTTAAGGCCATAAGCAAACCTGTCCTTCAATTATCCATTTGTAGCCCTTCACTTTTCCACATCTTTCCTACAGAAAACAAAGTTTCTTCATTAATAATGAAAATGAATAAATCAGGCTTGAAAAAAAAAGTGCTAAAAATCGGTCACGATGACTACCACACAGGTTGTCGAAACGTCAGTCACTAGAGACCTTTAGATTAGCCGACGAGGACGACTAGGAGAACGAGATTTGACTTAAATCTTTTTTCGCGTATTCTCAAAATATAGACTCCCCTGAAAGCTTCATTTTATCATTCTTCAATAGAAAAGTTACCACTGTTACCTTTGGTGAAGGAGGTTACACCCACTCCCGATCGCAAAATGATCAAACTTCTAACATTTGATAACTTGTTTCCGCCACTTCGACATTCTCGCTAAAACTCATAATAGAATGACGACGGCTACCACGTTTTCCCGCCAAAATGACGCTGGTTCACGCGCGAGCACTAAACTTACTATTAAGAAAATCTCGTACTCGTAGTCGTACTCGTGTTAGAATGTAAAGCTCTCTACTGTCAACAACAGGATTTTGTTTACCTAGACGATTATACTCAACCTACTTAGGGCCCTGTTTACAAGGAGGGAGGGTCTTACTGGGGTAACCCTAGCACTTAGGTTAGGGTTACCTAGCACTCGCATATTTCTTCTTTTTTCACACGACGTGTTTACAAGGCAGGTAGAGTTACCCTAGCGCTAGGGTAACTCTACCTACCTGAGTGCTAAGGTTACCTACCGCTAGGGTAACCCTTAACCTGTCTTGTAAACGCTCAGTTAAGGATAACTCGCCTACCCGGGTCAACTTTCCGCTGTCATGCGTGACCAGTAATCGTGCCAATTTGAACGGTATTATTCAATTTCTGAGCTAAATTATAAACAGCTGAAAAATATAAAGTTATTTTCTCTCCACGATGATAGTATTTTCCCTTTTTTTGTGAAAATAACGTGTTTTCCATCGAGAACTTCAAGATTATTTCAAATTTTGGACCGTTACAAAGACTGTCACGCTTGACAAAACACGTCAGCAAAGCTGGTAAAGTTGACTCGGGTGATAGGGTAACCCTACCTGTGAAATTTGGTTGTAAACTAGAGCTAACTTTAACCCACTTGCTAGGGTAACCCTACATCGCACAAGGGTAACCCTCTATCCTTGTAAACAGGCCCTAAGAAATGACTCATGGGTGCAAACCTTTCACAATATCTCTTCAACTATAGAAAATATTGAGTCTTAAGTTGTTTCAAATTCTTGTTCGTGTGAACCAGTATTGCACATGACTTAACGGGCCTTTTTTTGACGTCATCAGTGATTACGTCACACAAATGAAATTTTGGAACTCTTATTAGACAAGTTTTTACATATTTGTGCACTACATTCTTCACAGTTTCAGGTTACAAACGTTGACGTTTTGAGGGTCACTTGACCAGTAACCATAAAAACACTTTAAATCCCAAATGTCTCTGGAATCAATTATTGTTGCTCGTATTAATTTTAGTGTAATGTTTTTAAGGTATTTTTAGTTACAGTCACGAGCATTTCAAAAAAATTTGTACCTTATCGGAGTCAAGAAGAAGAATGACAAGAACAGGAGTTAGGAGGAGGGGCACTCACCTGTTTCAAAAACAGTTCCAAATTTTCTTTTTGAGTATAAAGTAAAATAACGTCCAGTTCGAGCTTTTCTATTAGCTTCATGGCCGTATATATTGTGTGGGCTTTGTCTTCCAGTTCATTCTGCTTAGGAATCGGAACAAAAGTCACGGCGAGCTCAGATCCCTGGGAGATAGAGTAGAAGTATCCAGCTTCATGCAAGAGATCCGCTGAAAAGATAAAATGATACAAAATGACTCAAAATTTACATCAATTAAAATGCAGGATAATAATTAGGCAAATATTACACCTTGAAATCGTTAAGATTAGTTTTACCGTCGTAAAGTAATGCTATCCTTTTCCACTGAAATGTGTTTAAGATGTCTAGAGAAGCATGAGCGTAAGTCTTGTATCCTGGATGCACCTGGACTGATTTTTTACATTTATTGATTGGCCTGGTGTCTCTACTGAGGCTGATAATAGGAATACCAGCTACTGCAGACAGTGCACAAGTGTCAGACGTATTAATATGGCTTCCCTCGATCAGTGCAATAACATCTTCTTGAACAAACACCAAAGCTGAGGAATAAAGAAAAAAAAACAAACAAACAAAGGGGACAAATGTGGAAAGGAAAAAAGCTTTTAAGGCCGCTGGTTAACTTTAAAATTTGTATCGTTTCTCGAGTCTTTGTGTCGTGAACAGTACGTCGACATTGAGGTCACCATGACAGCCGAGTTATGAAAGCAATGTTTTCCACCAGATTTCCATATTATAAATTACATCTATTTATCGAATTTAACTGTTAATGTAATCCAGGCTCTTCAGCTACTTTGTTGAGAAAGAAAATGAAGAAAAGAAAGGTGGCCAAATGACAAAGGATACTTTTACATTTCTCTCAGAATTAAATTACTGGTACTGCTTGATTTAAGACATAGTTAAGTACACAAATAGTATTAACTTCTACTCTAATAACCTCGATGTATAAAGTGCCAGTTAAAAAACAAAATAATATATTGATTTTCGAAACGGCGAATCTAAGATGGCGGATGCTTCCATTTCCGTCGTTTATTAAAGATGTCATCATACCGTCACTCGTTCTTCGTAAGTGTTTTTCGATTTTATAATACGCCTATTCTTAGGGAAAAGAAACAATGGGTAAATAAGGGTTTAATTAATAAATTTAACAATGTGGCGTCATAATCACGCCTAATAAGCCAGTCTCCGACACTTTATCACTTTACACCTAGATGTTAAAAATGATGAAAGCATTATTAGCTATAATTCCATCACTGATTTAGTGGCTGTAACAGCATGATCGGAAGGGCCTCCGAATCCCCGCTTGACCCCTCCCTCCCCCACCTCACCCAGCTTTATCAAAAAAACCCAAAAGCCTAGCCTAGGGTGATTCAAAGCTAAACGAAGCCAGGCCTTCAATTTGATGAAAACGCTCAACGACTTGAGTACTACTTAACGTATCTCATTTTTTCTAAGTAATAGGTTTTGAATTTAAAAGGAGTAGTTATTACCTCCCTTCGTACGTTCTTGCATACTTGCGTATCCACGAGTATCTTACCTTTGTGGAATAAGGTGGTATCGTCAGTAACGCTAAACCTTTTCAACACAACAGAAACATTTTTAAAAACAGATATATTATTGACCGCAAAGTCGATCACTTCCTGCTCTACTGAACGCTCATGAATTGAACCTATTGGGAGAAAAGAAATCATGCCATAATTATAATGCAGATTTAAGGGTGCGCGCGTTGGACTGGAGCCATTCAGGTTACCATGTCAGATATTAATTCAGATTCAACCTACCATAAGTGAATGTCCTCTCCTTCGTCTCTACCTGAACAAAACTCGAAGAAATTACAAACAAAACGAAAAACGTTTTCTTCGCCATCTCCAAAACACAATCCTTAAAATTAAACAAAGAAAAGATTTATGTCAAGGGGTCTGGAGCAATCTGCTCAACGAAAATCGATCGTACTTGTGAGAAAGTGATGCCTCTACCAGTGGCACTGTAGTAGTTGTAAAGTTAACAAATTTAGCGAAATCTTTTCGTGATATCTCTCTGTCGTGATATACATTTGTAAGATATTTGCATTCATTTCTGTTCTTTAAAGGCAACAATTCATCAAATATTGAATCAAGGGATAAGAAGTAAGGCTAAGTTGACATCTCATTGCTATTCCACCAAGCAAGCTCCAACTGGTGGTTCTATTTAATTATACTCTATTCTACTTCCACATGCAGAATTACAATCCGATGATAGCAATTAAATGTATGGGATTCCTCCCAGTCGTCCTTAGTTTTCCTGTGTAGTTTTCGAAAACTTATTCATCTCATAAACACGATATTAGGATTTTGAAACTTATAATTCGCTTAATATATAATGACCCGCCTACATCAAGGTACCCTGGTTAGGTGTTATTCGACTTAATTTGAAAAATATGTAAATACAGTGGGTTAGAATGATTGTAGAGACTTGTCAATGGACTAATTAATATCCATCACGGTGAGTCAACAACCTTTTTATGTACGTGTCCATGAACTCGATCGAATTTTGCCAGCAAAAGTTGTTGATTTTGCATTAGTGCAGCTGTGAAGAAACTGAATAGATGTTGAAATCGGACTTTTCAATTTGCACCAGTTATACATATATACAAATTGCTAACATAATAAAACCATGTCGATAACTTTTCCATTTGGCGCGTAGAGTTTTGAAAATTCTGTGAAGTCGGGTTAAGCTTAATCGATGTTAAAATTGAAACTGAACCGTCCTCACTCTAGCTACGCAAATAGTACCGAAACTTTTATCTAAGCTTTAGATACTCATGAGTCAGCGATTAGAAAATTATGTATCATGCTGAGACTTCTAGCTACTTTTATTTTCCCTTTGCTTAGAACCATTTTTCCCGATAATTAAATTCGAGTTAGGGCCTGTTTACATGAAGGTGGGGGACCCAGGTAGGTGAGGTATTAATTCCTTTGAGTTTGGGAGTTCTATCAAGGGCCAAATATTTAAACGTAATTTAGCCAGTGTTTAACAAAACCGCGTTCTAAGTCATTTTCAGTCTGCCAAACGATTTTATCTAAACATCATTTATTCTTACAGTTTTATGAAAGCACATATAGAAGACTGGAAAAGGATTTATCTTCTTAAAACAACCCACCAAAGAAGAGATTTAGAGATTCAAACCGCGGCTTCGTTTAAGTATTTGGCCCTATGTGCCTGGAGCAGTCATAGAAATGAATCGATGAAAGAAAGAAAAAAAAAGCAATAATAATAATAATAGTAAGAAGAAGAATATAAAATAAAAACTAACTTTGAAGGACCGGTTTTTATAACAAGAACCCGCTTCTTGCTTTGTAAATAATAAAAGTTACTGTAATACCTTACCTTTTAACAACATCTACGTGGTGAAAAGGAGTGCATTTACTAATTTAGCGAGCTAGGCGTATGAAAATGTAGCTAATTCACGTGTTCTATTTTAAAGATATAAAAAAGGTACTGGATCATGAATCGCTGTATTGTGTTGTAGTTACCTGGCTCGAAGTTGTCAGCATTGGCAAGGACTAGATTGCGGTTGAGTCTCGTGCGTATTAAGTAACTCTATTCAAATGCATGGATATTGAACGACGATATACTGTCCGATATACTGGACCACAATAACCTCGACAACAAGCTCGTCCCAGTTCACTAGCAAGGATATAAATATGAAATTTTTATCCTCCTAATTATTTTGACCGTTTGAGTTATCAAGTAATAAGCGACATAACCGCCAAATTAGGTACGGTAAGGTAAGGTAACAACTTTATTCAATGACGGTAACACATGACAGTAAAAACTGATGAACTAGTGGCCTTCAATCGTAATTGAAATATTTAGAATTAATAAAATAAACACGACGAATTAAAATTTAAAAATAGTACAAGATAAGAAAAAATGATATGAACCTATACATTAGAATAAAAAGATAAAAAGACAATACACATTAGACAGATGACAGAAAAACTGATGAACTGGTGGCCCTCAGTCTTAAATTACGAATATTAAAAACTACTAAGATAAGAAAAGTGATATGTACATTCGAATTTAAAAATATGAAAACATTATACACATAAGAACTAGGCTAAAAAATATCTTTTTAAGAGCATTCTTAAACGCGCCAGCGGTGTCGTTCTTTCGCATGTCAAAAGGAATCCTATTCCACATGTTAGCTCCATGAACTTTAAAAGTACGCCCCCCTTCTGTTCCCTATTACTTAATGGACAAACCAAATTGAACCTTCCATAACGGCTAGCTCTGCTGTCACCCCTAAGATCTGAGTTTCTAGATAATACTTTCGTTATGTCGTCTTAGCCGTCATCTTCGTTTCTTATGCGCCTATATATTAAAGTACACTTTTGAAGATTTACTTCGTCCTTAAACGGCAGCCAATCAAGCCGTCTAAAAAGTTCTTTACTCCTATCATTTATATTTGCATCTAAAATTACGCGAGCTGCCTGCTTTTGCAGTTTAAATACACGTTTAACATTCTCTTCCGTCGCCGTGGCCATGCGTAAGATCCATACAACATTAAAAAACAGTTTGCGCTATGCGAGAAGCAAATTACGCTTAAACTTTTAAGTACAGCAATCCTTTGTGCCACTTTCTTGCGAAGGTCATCAATATGTTCAGTAAAATTTAGTTAGCTGTTTAATGTTACCCCAAGTAGCTTCTGTGAAGTGATGTGTTCAATCTCGCTGACGTTACATGCATTTTGAGTTTCATTGTCCTTTTTTTATTCAGCACCGAGTCCAATCAGCTATGCTGTTTATGTCTTCTCGCAACCGCTGCTGTACTGCAGGTAGATCTGAAACTGCAGCAGAGGCACTTAACGTAGTATCATCAGCACAGATGTCAACGGTTGACGAGGAAGATCGTTTACAAAGATAATAAATAATAGAGGTCCAAGGACCGATCACTGGGGAACGCCGTCTGTTATTAGCCTGTGTTCTGTCTGCACTCCGTCCATAACAACTGATTGCCTCGTATCGTTTAAGTACTTCTCAAGTAAGAGGAGCTCCTTGGATGCTACACCATATGCCTTAAGCTTTGATAAAGGATGCCATGGTCAATTAAGTCAAAGGCCTTTTTGTAGTCAACAAACACAAGTCCACTGACATGATCTTTATCCGTGTCTGATAATTAATGATCAATTGAGCGAATGATGGCTGTCTCATTGGAATGTGATCTCCGAAAACTAGACTGCAAATTGTATAGAAAGTCATTGTTTCTTATCGTTTCTTACAAGGCTTGGTGGATATGCTTCTCAAATTAACGAATCTTTTCATGCTTATGAGTCTAAAAAGGCTTGAATACATTACACTAGACGATTTTCCCTAAGTATAGCACCCTCTGTAAATAGATATGTCAAGGTTAGCAACGATTTCGTTTCAGTTATTTCCTGCGATTTGTACTAGACATGCTCGCAGTAGGGCGATACTGAAACGGAGAGAAGAGTAAATGGTAAGCGGTATTCTCTTTAGTTTATACCACCTGGAATGGAAAGACTACAACAAAATGGAATTTCGTAGGAATTTCTGAAAAGGATGGCCTTGTCATAACCTTTCGCGAATTTTAGTTTAGTGGTACATGTGGTAAAGCGCTGGTGCCAGAAAACCACAAGTTTTCTGGCACCAATCAGAAGCCAGAACGGCGGCGACCGTTTGGAACTGGTCTGGTAAGACATTAGGGCCATTTATACGAGAGAAAATAAGACGCGTCTTACATAAGACGCGTCTTTAATAAGACGCGAACTTTCCGTATAAGCGGCACATTTCGTCTAAAATAAGACGCGGCTTAGCTAAGACGCATCTTATTAGATAAGACATGCTCGTATAAATGGTACAGTTCGCGTCTTATTTAAGACGCGTCTTATTTTTCCTCGTATAAATGGCCCTATTGTCCCCAGGGGTTCTTCTCGCCGTTCTTTACTTTTTTTTGTGCCTTATTTTTGCGCCCGTTTAGACTTTACCTCGCCTCCACTATCTGCCCCTGGGTCTCCGAGGATGAGCTGGACGTACACGTTACATTGTGATTTGCATTAACCCCGCCTTCACTAAAATGATTCATGGAACAGAAAAACCCAAAATCCCTTCGAAGTTTGCAAAACGCGCAGCGTGATGCGACGAATTTCGCTGTAAAGCCGACCAATACTCGAAAAAAGCTTTACACAATATATTACAAAATGCAGCTAAGTAAAGGAAATAAATTAATATAAAGTCAATTTAATGAGTGAAATATCAAAACAAATGGACCTTCTTAGAGTAGGCTTGGAAGTAGTTTCCGATTTGATGAGTTTGTATCCTGGCTGCAGCTTGTCCCACATAGTGACTAGTTAACTATATTATACGTGCGAAAGAGTGAATGGAATGCCTATAGCTGCGAACTCCTCATGTTCCTCATGGAAAAGAAAATCTTTGAACAATCTGAGGGCCTCCTTTGAAAGTTATAGGCCTTGTTTAAAACTTATTATTATTCATTCAAAATATTTCCCCGTTTCTTATTGGCTCAAATCCGCCGGCTAATTCTTCATAACCAACTAAAGTTGACCAAATTTGGAGGACGTTTGCGATATCAGATACAATGACATCAAGAGTGCAGGCTATTGCCAGAAGAAAAGGGTACAGCAATCGAGAAGCCGACAATCCATAACAGAATACTCAGTTTTAAGAGCCAGGTGGTGATTTACTGTCAACAAAACACACTTGCCGATTGAAGGGAGAAAATATGAATACAGTCAAATACAGTCAAATCCTGTTAATACCGTATTAACTGGGTTTTCGGGACAAAGAAAACTGTCCGTTATAATGAGTTTTCCACATTAAGCGGGTTTACATAAAGTGGGGTTTGACTGTAATTATTTAACTCCCCCCGGGGGGGGGGGTACTTTAGGAATTTCTGGGTGGGGATGTGCCGCTGGGACCCTGGAACCCTTAACCTATACCAGAGCTAGTTCAACTAAATTTTGCTACCCTATACTAGAGTAAACTCGCCAAATACCCCCTATCCTAGAGTAGCTGTTTCCCTAGTCTGGATAAAATCTTCAACCAACTGATCAGTTTCTTGAAAAATGATACCCTATTCTAGACCCAAATGTTCTGATTTATATATAATATCCTAGAGTAAACATCTTGAAAACCATACCCTTCACAGCGGCACATATTTATATAGCCCATATATGGCAGTACCCCCCGCCCCCTGCCCGGGTTTTACCGCACTAGGTTATTGCTTGTAAGTGTCTGATGATCTCCTTTCGGTTCTGTAAATTAAACAAACGTAATTGCGCTTGATGTCTTTTTGTTATTTAGTAGCTCAAGTCCCCATATCCTTGCAAGCAATTAAATTTCGTACTCGTGTATTCATTGGTCGTCTCTTCAGTGTCATTGTAAGGTTTTATTCAGTTTCTTTGGACGGGGAAATTGAAGCCTGCAGACAAAGAAGAGTTATGTCAACGCCAAGAGCCAACGTAAATAATCTTAGGGGGGTGGGCGGCGGCACTGTAACTACAGATGGACTGTTCCGAATTAAATTGGAGACTACCGGTATTACTCCAGTAAAAAGCAGGAAATTTGAATTTTTATCGTTGCCTAACTGACCTTCAACCTTCATCTCCTGTTTTCGTTTCCAGATAATTTCTGCAATCAGCACTAGGTATGCCACAACCAGTCCAACGCCCAAGACAACATACACTCCCGCCATACTTGTTAAGCCGATTTGCTTTGTTGACAACACTTCGACGAATACATGAAAAACAAAAAAGGTTCGAGAATTACAAAAGTTATAACGTAAATAACAAAACTACAATGGAAACTGGTTATAACGAATGGCCGAGGCACTGACAAAGTTTGTTCGCTACTATAACGAGGTTTCGTTATATCGAGGGCCTTTTTCATATATTTTACTTAGTATTATTACTGGGGTAAAGAAAAGTGTTCGTTATACGATGGACTTCGTTATAGAGAGGTTCGTTATATGGTGGTTCCACTGTAAAGTTAAGACGTTACATTGCATTACATTACATTACTCACGATGTAGGTACACTAGGAAAGATCCAGCAACAGAAACAAGATGATTATGTTCAGGGTGGGCATCAGGGTGTATATGGCCATGGGCTGTGTGAAAATGGATATTAATTCCGACTTTTATACCGGGTTTTGTCCATAGCAGGGCTATATCTTCCTCTAATAGTCGTCAGGACATTCACTATAATTTGGCGTGCCTTTATTTCTAAAACATGCAAATCTGGAAACCTCATCTACAGCTGCTCTTGAATAAGTTTTCCAGTTTGATAGGTTACGGATCGTGAATTGCCAAAAAAGTCAACAATTCATACATATTAGATAACGCAATTTTAGAGAAGTTTTAGCTACCTCAAATCCCTGTGAGGATTAAGCACACTAAATTATTTTACCTATGTCTTTTACTTTAGGGCATCCAGAGGAAGATTCCCACCATTTACGTTCCAGGTTTCCTAGGAAACCATTCTCTTGGAAACGCAAAATGGCCAGTGTAAAATCTGTAACATAAGGATCATTCGCTTGAAAAGCAAGACCAAGTCCTCTGACGTTGGTTAAACCTGGCACTGAAAGAGTTTTTCATTCATCAGTTTAGCATATTTTGCACTTTTTCCCCATAAAAAAGTAGAATATTAACGTGAAAAAAAAATTGTTGAATTTTTGATACAGCTAAGGCAAGGCATGGCTCCGTAAGCAATTTTAAAATTGCAGAACCCCGTCTAATGATGTATAGCTGATTCAAGCAAGCCGCTTTGGCCATTTTGAGGAATTGCGCACTGGGAAGCTATTGTTTGGTGGCAGCTCAAGGAAATCATAGTAGTAAGTTCCGTATGCCCAAATGGTGAAATGCCGAATTGTCCCAATTGCCTTTGGCCGCTCGGGCTGCATTGCGTGCGACAGTGATCTATAATAATAATAATGATTAAAAATTTATAACGCGCCTTTTCCATGCAAATATGATCAAAAGCGCGTGATCTGTTTCCTTTCCAGGAAACCAAAACGCTAAATGAAAGTGTATGAAACAGAGACGCGAGGTTGTTTCCCGGCCCTCTGCCTCAGACAATAAATGCATAAAGTAGCCTAATAAAACTCGCACTTTTCCTTGAGAATGGCTTGAACATATTATAAGCAACAACTGAAAAAAACTAAAGTTAAAACAAACAAATCTAACCACCTTGGTCCCGCCCCAACCCCTAACACATCCGATGGCTTACATATATATGTATATAAATTATGTTTTTTAGAAATTTTAAATTTCACATATAAATATGTTCATATCGCAGTGTTCTGGATCAAACCTAATTACCTGTTGTTAGATCGCAGGGTGGCTTGTTGGCGATATGTCGAATAACAGGTCCATCACAAATAAACACACGCTCATCCTTTTCGCGAATGAACTGAACAGCCTCATTTATGTTTCGAGCAAAAGAGTTGTCAGCTTGAATTCTGTGCCAAATCTGTCGGTGAGTTTGATATTTGCTCGTCTTGAAAAACTCGTAGAGACTTCCTGAATCTAGTATGGTGACTTGATGAGAGGATGCTATTACGTCTTCCAGGTTATTGATTGGAGCCACGGCATTTTTCACAGTCAAAAATGCTGCGAGATTTGCAGTGTACGTTGAAACCCACACAAGAATGCAAAACCAATAACACCCGGTAAGAATGCGACCTATATAATAGGGAAAAAAGAAGAAGGTACTAGATTCAACTACGCAATTATCACTGATATTAGAGCAGCATACTAAGACTGATCGAAACTTCCTTTCCGAACATCGACTGTGTTTCGACTGCGAGCGAGTAACATCTCTGTACCTGACAGGCTTCGTGGTTGGCTTTCAGATCCTTGCTGCAGCATGCAAGCCAATGCAAACCACACGCTGTTAAAGAAACTAAACTCTTCAGAGGTCCCTCGACCATTTGCACCTTTGTATCCGTACGGGCTAAAGTAGTTTATCACAAAAGTTGAAACAGAAATCACTACCAGAGTGGCTAGAGTAACAAACCAAACGTCGCTGTGAAAAGGATTTAAGAACTTTAGAAAATCAATCGATCCGTTGTTGAATGATGTTTTCTTGAGTAGCATATCTTCAGTGAAATACATGAAGGGAACAGTGAAGTCTACCACTTTTTCTCGGTCTTCAGTAATGGTCAAAGCTGCAACAGCAATGTCTGCACGCTTTAGAGATGAAAAAGAAAAATACATCAGAGAAACGGTCACGGTTTCTTCCACTTATTAGATACTGTCAAAGATTAACCAAAGTTTATTTAATTTGTAATTTTTATTAAAGGGGTTTACCCTCATTGAAAAAGATGATCTAACTTCTCAGCACGTTTGAGTTATTTGTTTGGTGCCTTCTAGAACGACTGTCAAATAATTGTTTTTATCTTTTGTATCTCGAGGATCCGTTGCACTTTTTTTTTGGCTCCTCATTTCAAAATTGTAGTTAATAAAAAGAATGATGCCTCCATGCATCTTTTAGTGTGCATGCGCAAGGAAAGTTTCAAAGAGAAATGCGGCACCTCTAGGGCACCTCGATCTGGGAGAGTTTGTTTGTTTGTTTTTTTTTTGCTTCTAACCTTGTTTAGTAGTTCTCCTATCATTCCATTCCAGGATCCGTTTATCGTTTCGACGCCGAAAAACCCGTCGGGAGAAGGTGTGATATGATAAGTGAAATGAAGTGTTTTGGCAAGTTCGTTTAGCAGATCAATGCAGTATCCTTCATATGCAACCTGTCCATCTTTCTGTCTTTTGAGCAGGACAAATGGCTCATTCTGTGTTTATGTAAGAGTTTTTAAAAATCTTTAAGTGAATTGTCTCATGGATATTATACTAGAAATAGCTACACACCTAACGTATAAAACATACATTTAATACACTATCATTTTAAATCTATGGCCTTTCGAAAACACCTTTTTAAATGTAAGTCCCACACTTTACTTTCAAAATATAAAGAATTTTACAAAAAACGAAGCCCCTCCAAATTGACCCCAATGTCTGAATTGCCATCATGTTATGGTGTCGTCATAAAGTTATTCAAAATTGATTACTGGGGGGGGGGGGGGGGGGGGGGGATTGACACAAAAATAACAATCATAACTAAAACACTCCAACTCATATCAAAAAACAAACAAATACAAAAAAAACCCACTCACCCACTGAAGTGGACGTCGTGTATTTATTCCGACTGTGTTGGTGGGGTGGGCGGAAGAGGTTGAAAGGATGTGGTGGGGGGGGGGGGGGGGGGGGGGGGCTGGAAACGAGGCGATGTTACAAGAACTAACTGCATAGAGTTAACGTCAATATCAAGGCAATTGCACTACTTGTACTGTGCTGGTCAGGATTGTTTTCAGTTGTGCGTACAGTTTTCCAGATCGAGTCTCAAGTCATTTCTTCCCAAGCTGATTTGTCTTCGACTAAATTTACTTCTCTCTCCGGTCACGGTGAGCCCAAGATAGTCGTTTGAGGAACATTTACACAATACATTGTGCTTTTATAGTACCTCTGTAACAACAACCCTGAGAATTTTTCCTTCCAGGGTGCTTCCCTTAAATTTGTCCGCGTCATACATATTAGGGTGGATATTTTCAAACATCACAGCTTTGTCACTTGAATTCCAAGACCCTACCTAACAGAACAAAAAATAAATAAAATGAAATAAGATAAAATGAAGCAAGCTCCGAAAATGTTGCTTTCGTTGCGTCCACTTCTGAAAATGAAATTTTTGTTCTAGAATGAAAAATGGTCGTGGGCATAATTTAAGCATAAACTGAAAAAGGAAGGTGATTCATTTATGCGGTGGATACATTCCTTAAAGTAAATGCTAAACAGTACCTAGTGATTTCTTTTTAAATTAAAGTTATATTAACAATTAATGTTCCAGCCTGTTTGCTTACGTACTTTTTGGTCACTGGATAACATAAACAAATTGCTGCCATTGAGAAGTGTTACTTTGTTTTTGTACTCTCCGTGCGCACAGTGCCAGTCAGTTGCTTTAAAGTAACTTGTTGACTATGCACTTGATCTTGGTACTTACTTTCCTAAGGGAATCGTTTCTCAGATTCAAGATTTCCAGTCGTACTCCTGCTCTCTTTCCATCCTGGCTAAATCTGACAGGTCCTGTTACACCATCAAAGTTTACCTGTTGATATATGTTGTGGTTCAATATTATCCTTGGTCCAAATTTTATTCCCTTTGTTTTTTGGTATGGTAATGTATGCTAATGAGTTTAAAACAAAAGGAAATAAAACTTAAGCCAAGGATAAAACTGAAACCTCCTGCAACTTATACATTCGATGTGCTTGTTTTTAAAAAATGCAATATTGCATCATATTGCAGTCAAGGCAGGAAACGCCTACCCTCTAAGATTCTATAAATGAATTGATTAATATTTGAAAAATGAATCCGTTAGTCGTTCCTTGAACTAGTGTCAAATTTAAATCGGCATTCCTGTATGAGCAATGAGCAGTGAATATTTTAGGAGAACTTCTCTTTGAATTTGATCAGATTGAAAATCTTTGAATGGATAAAATTGCTTCGAAGACATTTATATCAATTCAGGAAAACTGAGCTGGAAGAAATTTCATAACTGCCTCACTTGCGTGTGACTAATAACGGCTTTTTAAGTATGCAAGAATGCAGAGATGAATCTGAAATCTACAACCACCAAAGGATTCAACTTTAATAATAAAATTTCATTAATGAAATCTTAAGGGGTGCACTTGACCTGGCTTGACTTTAAGTACTTGGCTTAACCTTAGTTAGTTTTTCTCGACAATTAGTCAATGCAGACGTGATGATGGAGGATTTTTAGTTTCAGTTTTGGTGCCTAGTTGCAACGGTAAAATCTCTGCAGGTTTCGTCCGCCATGATCACCTGTCTTGGAATGGCCCCTTTTCGCATCGTAAGGTCTCAGGATCTTTATAGTCAGGAGCTGGGCCATCTTTGCCATGTTTCGTAATTTAGTAGCTAATTTTTTTTTCCCTAGAATCTAGTTTCAATTGTATTATTAACAGATATTTTTTGATTTAGGAAGTGTTTTATTGACAATTTTAGATAAGTAAATTGTATTTCATATTTGATATATTAAACAAGTAGATCTTAATACATGAGTTTTAGATGAATATATTAATCGTAAAATTACGTAATTCAGCTTTAATGGCTGCAATATGTAATGTGGTTTTAATAAACCATCTAAGTATCTCTTAATCTATCTATTTCATAACAGAGAGATCTAAGTTCATGCATCACGGCAAAAGGCAAATTAACGGCAGCGATTCAAGTTGAGATTTCTCAAAATCGAAAATTAGCAGATAAAACCAGTTCAATTCTTATGAATGCAAACAATAGTTAAACTACTACTCTTTTGTAGAAGTAAAGAACAGTTAAATACAAGACAAGGGAAAACTTGGTCAAGTGGCACAAATTTACGTTTGCCGTTTGCCGTAAACGTGGCTCTAATCTCTCCATTATCGTGGTAACGTATCGTGGTAAAGTTGGTTGTAAGCAATCAGTTTTCATATCAAGAAGAGGGAGGAAAATTAAGAAACACCTATTACTTCAAGGAACAAACAAAATCAAAACCAAGCACAAAACCGAAAGAAAGAAAAAAACTACAATAACATCAAAACATATTGAAAACACATTGAAACACTCGGAAAACCGATACTAAGTACGAGTCTATAAATAAAAAAAATATTGACGAAGCAAAGAAATTAGCTTACCTTTGTCATGCATGAAAACAATGTTTCACGGTCTTTAGAAGTAACAGCCGAGAAGTTTATTGATAAACATGCTTCTATATTTTGAGTCTGCTTGATTACTTGTACTGCATCGTGAGCAATGGCGGCAAGTTCCTGCACGAAATATTATATTGTGCGATGCCGGTTAAAACATGTTTTTCAAAAGGAAAACTACATAACCTCTTTTGTTTGAATGGCTGAATAAATTAAGCTGAATTCGATTATTTGCAGATTTTTATTCCTACCTTTTGAGAAAAGTTGGTAGAGAGCAGTTCTTTGGAAGCCAGATTCTCAATATAAGGAAGCTTGAATGTTAAAACCACATGCACTGCTCGACTAGTTAGGTTTCCTGGTACCTGTAGTGAAATAAATTGCTTAAAAATGAATTATATTTAACATAAATAATTACGTCTGCCCTCGGATTATTTTTAATTTTTCTATGACTACGTACGTTTTAAAGACAACTCAATTCACCGGACGTTTAAAGTTGCTCAAAAATTGGGTCGAGGGTTGTCATTAAAACTGATCCAGTGGACACAAAATTATATTGCAAAAGGCACTGGCAAAGCCTCTCTTACAAAAAACGCCTGAAAGTGCATCCTTAGTTGGCAGCCGCTTGTATGAAACATTCCTGACGACGATAAAGAAATATCTACAACATGTTCAATTTATTATGATAATTATAATTTATTAGTGAATAGAAAAGGGTTCCTCTTTTTTTCACTGAAATAGTCTCAATGAAGTTTATAAACTTTTTTTAGGAAATTTGCAAACCTGTCCTTGAAGTATCCATTTGTAGCCCTTCACATTTTCGTATCTCTTCTACAGAAGCAAAGATAACAATGACCATGTTGAAAAGCGACTGAGATAAAATAGGAAGCCGCACAAGGCAATTTACAACTCATTCAAGGAACTCAGAATTTAACGCTAGATAAATATGCATGCTTTTAGAAGCAGGTTTCAATCGCATTGCGGTTATAATAGGCAGTTTATATTGCAGGTACTCATTTACACAGTTTCAAAGTTAGTGTCACCATTAACAGTTAAGAGGAGGAGTTTTACCTGTTTCAAAAACAGTTCCAAATTTTCCTTTTTAGTATATAGTAAAATAACGTCCAATTCAAGCTTTTCTATTTGGTTCATTGCCGTTGCTATTGGTTTGGTTTTGTCCTCCACTTCCTCTTTTTCACGAATCGGAACAAAAGTCACGGTGAGCTCAGATCCCTGGGATATAAAGTAGAAGTATCCAGCTCTGTTCAAGAGATCCGCTGGAAAGAAAAAAATGATAATATTTAAATAAATAATAGAAAAATAAAAGTCATATAAATTGCAAACTAAATTTTAATTTTATTTTTCCCCATTTGTAACATAAAGTCAGTGTGAATATCCTTTCTATATGCCGAAAGTGATTGACGATAAGAGGCAAATTTTAAAGCAAAAAACAAAAACAAAACAAATAAAACAAACAAACCAAAAAATAACGCGATTTTATTCACCTGACAACTACACCGTTCTTTCATAAAATAAAATCCGTAAGATAAGTTTTTACCATCGTAAAGTAGTGCTAGCTTTTTCCACTGAAATGTGTTTACGATGTCTAGAGTAGCATGTGCGTAAGTCTTGTATCCCGGATGCATATGGACTGATTTTTTGCATTCATTAATTGGCCTGGTGTCTCTGCTGAGGCTGATAACAGGAATACCAGTTACTGCAGACAGTACGCAAGTGTCAGACGTATTAACATGGCTTCCCTCGATCAGCACAATGACATCTTTTTGTACAAACTTTAAACCTAGGAAAAAAAAAAGGAACAAAAATGGTAATGATAAGGATAACGATAATGATAATGATGATGATGATGATGATGATGATGATGATGATAATGATGAGGATAATGATAATTTTTCAAGGGAAGAGGTTTTAACTAATTTAATAAAAATGGAGTTAGTTACACGAAATCTTTACTTCCTGACATGTGTGCCTATTTATTTACTTTCTTACCCCCTCATATCTTACCTTGGTTTAATAAAGTGATATTGTCATTATGGCTGACCCTTTTCAACACAACTGAAACATTTTTAAAAGCAGAACTATCGTTGACAGCAAGGTCAATCACTTTCTTCTCTATTGAATGCTCATGAATAGTAACTGTAAAAAGAAGAACGACAATGGTTTTAGATAAAAGAGTTTTAACTAGTGCAGATTTATGAATTGTCTGACTGGAATTCTTAGCTTCAGAGCAACGATAATTGAATGCAGCCCGTGTAGAAGGCGGGAGGACGTCTCGTATCTGCTTAACTCCCACCTAAAATTTCTTTTTTAATTATTGATCACAAAAGAAAACATAAATAAAATGAAATACCTACATATTTCAATACATTTATATTCAAAACAAGAATAAACAATCTCTTCATCTTATATATTTTCTATTATACTTGATTTCAGCTGATGCAGAACTGATGTCAGAGTGCTCAATAAAAGGACTAGTCAAAGAGCGAGAATACCAGAAGTATAATGTTTTATCAACTGAATATTTGCCTAGGCATTTTATTACTTCATAGTTTCGTACTACACGGTGGTGAAGCACACTTCAGATAAAATAGCCTAATGGTAGATTACAAACAGTACGCGGATTATAACCGAAATTTAAAATGCAGTTAGTACGGATACAATGCTGTTTCTATGGGTTCTGTTATGTAACAGAAGAGGACTTGAAATTTTTCGACAGAAATTTGCTAGCGTGTCTACACGAAAATACTGTTGCTCGTTGCGCTTGTTTAGAGTAGCTAGATGGGGCTTACAGATTATAAAATATTTCTCCCACAGACATAAATTACACCGTTTGGAAGAGGGGTTGTAGGCGATAGCCTGCTTCAAAATCTTCCAGGTGATCCGGAAGTTAATGTTCTGTTATATTTCCCTATTAATTATTCACCTTGAGTTAGCGGGATGTAACTTACCGTAAGTTAATGTTCTCCTCTCCGTCTGAACCTTGACAAAACTTAATGTTATAGTAAACAAAACGAAGAACATTTTCTTTGCCATCAGCAGTCCTTAGAAATAGACATAAATTTTTTTTTTACATAAACTAATAACGTTTAATTTAAAAGATTTTGTTGTTTTCAATATTTTGAAGCACCTACACTGACATGTATCCTTGATATTTTAGAAAATCTAGTAAAATTTAAAAAGCGAAGGCAGGTAAGATGTCTCTGATGCAACTTTACAATGTCAAACATGACATTAGGTTTTGAACATGAATTCTGAATATATAAGGGACCCAACATAATTTTTCCAAAAAGGTTTCTAATAAGTTTCACTTCCTAAAGCTTCCTTGTAGCTTCAAGCAGAGTTCGTTCAAATGACATTGACTTGGGACTACAAAACGTGACATAAGTACGTTTGGAGATGATAGAGACAGAAATAAAGCGAAGAAACACACTTCTTCGTGCATTCCTCTGTTCAAAGGGCTCTTATATACTGCTTACTTTTAAAGGCTATCTGATTCAAAGCACGATCATTTGTAAATTTAACAGCTTAGTGTAGGCATAAAAAACAGGTTAAATGGCACTTGTACTTAACACTTATAAGTTAGAAATATAAATAAGAAAAGGTTATAGGTAATGAATCACTGTGCAAAAGTTACCTGTCGTATTTTCAACAATAGGCAAGGAAGAGGTTGCGGTTGAGTTTTGAGCGTGTAAACACTTTTTACTTTAAACGTATACATAATGAACGATATCCCCCATGGCCGCTCGTTCCAGTTCACTACCGAGGGCTGAATATGGTGACATGAAATCCCAAATGAAATGTTATTAACATGTTCTGGCTAGTCAGTCAAAATTACGCGCTTGATAAAAAGTCATAGAGACATTAATATATATTTGAGACTACACCTTAACCCCTTTTAATGCCTTCTTGAAATTGAAGGATATTGGCGGGTGGTGGATTAAATCTAAAAGCCCAGAATTCTATTCGGGTCTTTCATTAATAGATCGGTCAATATAAGTCTTTAATACCTCAAAGCTTTAATTTGTTTCACAGTCAAAAATCAGTTCACAAGATTGAAGTATCTTTAAGAGAAAAGACCAGTGTCTTTGCAATGGCTTAAAGTTTATTGCCTCAATTAAGTAACAGATGTCAGTATTTATCGAGAGCTTGGATTCTTGTCTTGGCGATGTCAAGATATATAATTACCTGAATAGGGAATTAAAGCCGACAAGGCAATGCTCGAAAAAAGTTTTACACAATATATTAGAAAATGCAGGTAAGTAAATGATTTATTAATATAAAATCAATTTAGTGAGTAAAATATCAAAACAAATGGACCTTCTGTGACGGCTTGAGAAGCAGTCACCCACTTTGATGAGTTTGTATCCTGGCTGCAGCTCGTCCCACAGAGTGACTACTTAACTATATTATACGTGCGAAAGATTAATGGATTGCCTATAGTTGTGAACTCCTCATATTCCTCATGGAAAAGCGAATCTTTGAACAATCTGAGAGCATCCTATGAAAGTTATACGCCATGTTTAAAACGTATTTTTATTCATTCAAAACACATCCCCGTTTCTTATTGGCTCAAATTCTCCGGCTACTTCTTCATAACCAGCTAACGTTGACCAAATTTGGAGGACGTTTGCGATATTAAAGATCTTACGATCCGACAACGGCGACGTCCATGAAAACGTCACTGAAAATAGACTTCGCATCCTTTTAAACTTTTTCGCGTTTATCCCACTTCGCCCTGTTATTTAAAAGAAGCGGATTTTGGCTGCGGCTGAAAAGAGGGGAACGCGCCCGAGTTCAGACAGAGATGGTAGAATTTATCGCCTTGCCGTTCCCCTTTCCAAGTAAACTTAAAATTTGGTCATTTCGCGTCGTAGTTCTGCAGTGAAGGCAAAGAAATGTACGAGAAAAGCATGATGCACGTGCAGAGTTGTTGTTTTGCGCATTAAACCTACTGATTTTTGACGTTCCTGTTGCCGTTGTCATCGTGGTTTCGTAAGGTCCCTATTAGATACGTACAATAACGTCGACAGTGAAGGCTATTGCCAGAAAAGGGTACAACAGAGAAGAAGAACCTAGAAGCCGACAATAGATAACAGAATACTCAGTTTTAAGGGCCAGGTGGACATTTACTGGCAACAAAACACTCTTGCCTACTGACGGGAGATAATATTAATACAGTCAAACCTAGCCTGAGAAAACAGACGACATTTCGCGACGCCACCAACGGTTTACCCCGCGAAATGACGTCTGAGAACCGAGCGCAGAAATTCCATACTGATGACGCATCACTACCCAGATCAAGCCAGTGCTTCTGATTGGTCGTGCCGCTTGGGAAATTTGCTTCAACAAATCAGAAGCACTAACCAGATCCGGGTAGTGACGTGTTATCAGTATGTAATTTCTGCGCTCGTTAACGTCATTTCGCGGGGAAACCAGTGGTGGCGTCGCGAAATGTCGTCTGTTTCTCAGGCTAAGTCAAGCCCCGTTGATACGGACAATGAGGAGGCCAATAAAAGTGGACATATTAACGGGGTGTTCGTGTAATGTAAAGGCTTTCTTTTCCCAGGGACAAAGAAAACTGTCGGTTATAATGAGGTTTCCATATCAAGCGGGTTTACTTAAAGCGGGGTTTGACTGTAATTACTTTACCGCACTCGGTTATTGCTTATGTACTGTCTGACTTTCTCCTTTCGGTCTTTTAAATTAAACCAACGTAACTGCGCTTGGTATTTTTTTGTTAGTGAGTAGCTCAAGTCCCCATATTCTTGCAAGCAACTAAATTTCGTATTCATGCATTCATTGATCGTCTCTCCAGCGTCGTTAGTAAGGTTTCATTTAGTTTCTGTCGCTGGGGGAATTGAAGCCTGCAGACAATAGAACAAAGACGAGTTATCTCAACGCCAAGAAACGTGCTTTTATTTAATTTATGTTGCTGTACACGGGCAAACGCAAATAATCTTGGGGGGGGAGGGGGCGGGGGTGGGGGCGGCACTGTAACTACAGATGGACTGTTCTGATTTAAATGAGAGACTACCGGTATTACCCCCGTATAAAGCGGAAGATTTAAATTTTATCATTGCCTAACTGACCTTTAACCTTCGCCTTCATCTTCTATTTTCGTTTCCAGATAATTTCTGCAATCAGCACTAAGTATGCCACAACCAGTCCAATGCCCAAGACAACATATACTCCCGCCATACTTGTTAAGTCGATTCGCTTTCTTGACAACACTTCAACGAATACATGCAAAAAAAAAATTCGTGAACAACAAAAATACAGTGGAAACCCGTTATAACGAATGGCCAAGGAACTGGCAAATTTGTTCGCTACTTTAACGAGGTTTCGTTATATCGGGGGCCTTTTTTCATATATTTCACTTACTGTTACCGGGGTAAAGAAAAGTGTTCATTATACTATGAACTTCGTTATAGAGAGGTTCGTTATATCGTGGTTCCATTGTACAGTTCAGATGCTACATTTGCGAATGAAGCGCTTACTCACGATGTAGGTACACCAGGAGAGATCCAGCAACAGAAACAAGATGATTATGGTCAGGGTGGGCATCAGGGTGTGTTATGGCCACGGGCAGTGTGAAAATGGATATTAGTTCCGACTTTTATACCGGGTTTTGTCCATAGCAGGGCTATACCTCCCTCTAATAGCCGTCAGGCCATTCACTATGCTTTGGCGTGCCTTTATTTCTTAAACATACAAATCTGGAAACCTCATCTACAGCTGCTCTTGGATAAGTTTTCCAGTTTGATAGGTTGCGGATCGTTAATTGCCAAAAAAGTCAACAATTCATACATATTTATAGATAACGCAATTTTAGAGAAGTGTTTAGCCACCTAAAATTCCTGTGAGGATTAAGCACACTAAATTTTTTTACCTGTGTCTTGTTCTTTAGGGCATCCAGAGGAAGATTCCCACCATTTACGTTCCAGGTTTCCTAGGAAACCGTTCTCTTGGAAACGCAAAATGGCCAGTGTAAAATCTGTAACATAAGGATCATTCGCTTGAAAAGCAAGACTAATTCCTCTGACATTGGTTAAACCTGGCACTGAAAGAGTTTTTCATTCATCAGTTTAGCATATTTTGCACTTTTTCCCCATAAAAAAGTAGAATATTAACGTAAAAAAATGTTGAATTTTTGATAATTTTGATCATTCCTTTGATCCAGTTCAGGCAAGGCATGGCTCCGTGAGCAATTTCAAAATTGCAGAACACTGTCTATTGATAAAAAGCTGATTCAAGGAAGGTTGCTTTGGCCATTGTGAGGAATTGCGCACTGGGAAGCTATTATTTGGTGGCCACTCAAGAAAATCATTGCAGTTAGTTCCGTATGCCCAAATGCTGAAATGCCAAATTGTCCCAACTGCCTATTGGCCGCTCGGGCTGCACAGCGCGCCACAATCCATTCCAGGAAACCAAAACACTACACTGTAAATTAATGAAAGTGTATGAAACAGGTATAAGCGACGTTGTCATATTTCAAAATAGTTTCCCGGCCCTTTAGCTCCGACAATAAGTGCATAAAAGAGCGTAACAAAACTCGCACAACAGAAACAAATAATAATAATAATAAAAAAAACAAATCTAGCCACCTTGGTCCCGTCCCAACCCCTTAACACGTCCGATCGCGTTTTATCTATTTATTTAAAGAAACTTTAAATTTCACATCTACTCACGTTCACATTGCAGTGCTCTAGATTAAACCTAATTACCTGTTGTTAGATCGCAGGGTGGCTTGTTGGCAATATGTCGAATAACAGGTCCATCATAAATAAACACACGGTCATCCTTTTCACGAATCAACTGAACAGCCTCATTTACGTTTCGAACAAAAGATTTGCCAGCTTGAATTCTGTGCCAAATCTGTCGGTGAGTTTGATATTTGCTCGTCTTGAAAAACTCGTAGATACTTCCTGAATCTAGTGTGGTGACTTGATAGGATGATGCTATTACGTCATCTAGGTTATTGATGGGAGCCACGGCATTTTTCACAGTCAAAAATGCAGCGAGATTTGCAGTGTATGTTGAAACCCAGACAAGAATGCAAAACCAATAACACCCGGTAAGAATGCGACCTATAAAAGAGAAAAACGAAAAAGGTACTTAACATAAAACTACGCAATTATTACTGACTCTAGAGTAGCATAAGACCTATCGATATTGTGATTTAATAGCTAGGACCATTATTAAAAAGCAATTTCCTTCCGAACATCGACTGTTTCGAATGCGAACAAGCAACATCTCCAAAGCACCTGACAGGCTTCGTGGCTGGTTCTCAGATCCTTGCTGCAGCATGCAAGCCAATGCAAACCACACGCTGTTAAAGAAACTAAACTCCTCAGAGGTCCCTCGGCCATTTGCACCTTTGTAACCGTATGGGCTCAAGTAGTTTATCACAAAATTTGAAACGGAAATCACTACCAGGGTGGCCAGAGAAGCAAACCAAACGTCGCTGTGAAAAGGATTTAAGAACTTTAGAAAATCAATCGACCCGTTGTTGAACGATGTTTTCTTGAGTAGCATATCTTCAGTGAAATACATGAAGGGAACAGCGAAGTCTACCACTTTTTCTCGGCCTTCAGTGATGGTCAGAGCTCCGGAAATGTCTGCACGCTTTAGAGATGAAAAAGAAAAATACGTCAGAGAAACGGTCACAGTTTCTTCCACTTATTAGATACTGTCAAAGATTAACCAAAGCTTATTTAGTTTATAATTTTTAGTAAAGGGATTTTCCCTCATTGAATAAGACGATTTAACTTCTCAGCAGGTGTGATTTATGTGTTTGGTGCCTTCTAGTAAGAACGACTGTCAAACAATTAATTTTAGAGGCCCCAACGTTTGATCTTTTGTATCTCAAGGATCATGCGTAACAATGCACTTTAATTTCTGTTTTTATAAAAGAATGATGCCTCCATGCATCTTTTAGTGCCCATGGAAATTTTCCTAAGAGAAATAGGGCACCTGTCGGGCACCTCGATCTGGGAGAGTTTGTTTTTTGTTTCTTACCTTGTTTAGTAGTTCTCCTATCATTCCATTCCAGGATCCATTTATCGTTTCGACGCCGAAAAACCCGTCGGGAGGAGGTTTGATATTATAAGTGAAATGCAGTGTTTTGGCAAGTTCGTTTAGCAGATCAATGCAATATCCTTCATATGCAACAAGTCCATCTTCCTGTCGTTTGAGCATGACAAATGGCTCATCCTGTGTTAATGTAAGAGTTTTTAAAAACTCTTTGAGTAGATACTCTCACGGATATTACACTAGAAATAGCTACACACTTCATATATAACATACCTTTACTACAGTATCATTTTAGAATGTTTTCTTCAGATCACAAATTCTCTCTAAATCTATGGCCTTTGATTTAGTTGATATTTTAAAACAAGTTTTTAAAAAGGTCCACACTTAACTTTAAAAATGAAAAGAATGTACAAAATTCACCCCAATGTCTGAATTGCCGTCTCGTTGTGACGTCATAAAGTTATTAAAAATTGATTAATGGGAGGGACTGGAAACGAGGCGATGATACAGTAGCTTACTGCGTAAAGTTAACTTCACTATCAAGGCAGTTACACTACTGGTACTGTACTTGCCAGAATTCTTTTCAGTGGTAGGTGGGACAGTTTTCCAAATCGAGTCTCAAATCGTTTTCACCTCAGCTGATTTGTGTTCGACTAAATTTACTTCTCTCTCCGGTCACGGAGGGCCCCAGATAGTCGTTTGAGGAACATTTACGCAGCACATTGTGCTTGTATATATGTTACCTCTGAAACAACAACCCTCAGAATTTTTCCTTCCAGTGTGCTTCCCGTAAATTTTTCTGCGTCATACATATTAGGGTGGATATTTTCAAACATCACAGCTTTCTCACTTGAATTCCAAGACCCTACCTAACAAAACAAAAATAAATAAAGGAATAAAATAGAATAAAATAAAGCAAGCTCTGGAAATGCTACTTTTCAGTTTTGCATCCACTGCTGAAAATGCAATTTTGTTCTAGAATGAAAAATGGTTATGGGCATAATTTGTATAGATAATAGCATGATTTGTAATGATATTTGGCATAAATACCACGAGTGATATTTCGAAATTGTTATATGACAATTTTGAAATATCACGAGTAGTATTTATGCCAAATGTCACGTACAAATCATGCTATCATTTGTTTATACTACTACCCGCAAAGGTTTTGTAATTTTTACATGTACATTATTTCAAATTGAGCTGAAATACCATTGCTCTGAGGCAATCTAATTGCAGAAATTTCTCATGTAGTAGTATAAAAGCATAAATTAAAAAAGGAAGGTGATTCATTTATGCAGTGGCGATACATTCCTTGAAATAAATGCTAACAGTACTAAGTAATTTCTCTTTAATTTGAAGTTAAATTAACAATCCATATTCCAGCCTGTTCGGTAACGTATTTCAGTTCTGGTCACTGGATAACATAAACAAATTGCTACCACTGAGAAGTGTTACTTTGTTTTTGCACTCTCCGTGTGCACAAGGCAAAAAATCTTTCACATTTTATTCTATCGCGTCGTGCTTTTTTTAAAAATTATATATTTGTTTTGCCACATGTTGAAATTTTAATTTTGCTGTCAATCTTGTGACGTCATTTTTCCGCTAAAAAACGTTGAATTCGAAAAACAAAAGCATAGGATATTTTGCAATACAAAGTTCTACCATCATGCAAAGTTTGAGCTCAAACAAATAAAAAATGCAAAAGTAGTTCATACGATGCACTTTTTGGCTTCCTATATGCCCACCGTGAAGTAACTTGTTGACCATGCACTTGATCTTGGTACTTACTTTTCTAAATGAACCGTTTCTCAGATTCAGGATTTCCAGTTGTGCTCCTGCTCTCTTTCCATCCTGGCTAAATCTGACAGGTCCTGTTACACCATCAAAGGTTACCTGTTGATATATGTTGTGGTTCAATTGTATCCCTGGTTCAAATATTATTTCCCCCTTTTTTTTGGGTATGGTAATAATGCTTACCTTAAATCAAAAGGAAATAAAATTTAAACCAAGGATAAAACTGAAACACAACTTATACATTCGATGTGCTAAAAATGCAATATTGCTTCATGTTAAGTTAAGGCAGGAAAAGCGTACCCCCTAAGATTCTATTAATGAATTGATTATTTGAAAAACGAATCCGTTAGTGTTTCTTGTAACTAATGTCAAATTCAAATACGCATTCCTGTGTGAATATTCTACGAGAACTTTTTTGTATTTGATCTCTGATCGAAAATCTTTGAATGGATAAAACTACCTTGACGACAATTACATTAATTCAGGGAAACTGAGCAGGTAGAAATTTCATATTAACTGCCTCGCTTACAGCTCATTACGCATGCAAGAATGCAGAGATGACGACCTAAAATCTACAACTACCAAAGGATTAAAAAAAAAATTCATTGGAATCTTGGATGTATTTCATATTTGATAGATTAAACAAGTCGATCTTAGTATATCATTTTTAGATGAATATATTCATTGTAAAATTACGTAATCAGCTGCAATGGCTGCAATGTAAAGTGATTTTCATAATTAAACCATCTAAACACTTAATCTATCTATCTCATAACAGAGAGATCTAGAGTCATGCATCACGGCAAACGCCAAATTAACGGCAGACTCAAGTTAAGATTTCTCAAAACAGAAAATGGGTGGATAAAAACAGTTCAATTCTTATGAATGCAAAAAATTGTGAAACTACTACTTTTTTTGTAGAAGTAAAGAACAGTTAAATACAAGAAAAGGGAAAACTTGGTCACGTGGCACAAATTTGCGTTTGCCGTTTGCGGTAAACATGGCCCTAAATGTTTCTATAAATTTCTCCATTATTGTGGTAAAGTAAACGGATGTTGGCTATGCCATCAGTTTAAATATCAAAAAAAGGGAAAAAAATTAAGAAACACCTATTAGTTCGAGGAACAAACAAAATAAAAAAACAAGATAAAAAAAATATATAATCGACTACAACAACATCAAAACCTATTGAAAACACATTGAAACACTCGGAAAAGTAGATATACAAATAAAGAAAAATATTGACAAATCAAAGAAATTAGCTTACCTTTGTCATGCATGAAAACAATGTTTCTCGGTCTTTAGAAGTAACAGCCGAGCAGTTTATTGATAAACATGATTCTATTTTTTGAGTCTGCTTGATTACTTGCATTGCATCGTGAGCAATGGCAGCAAGTTCCTGCATGAAATATTTACTTTTATTATATAGACACAAGTGTTTTACTGGAAAATATTGTGAGATACCGGTTAAAACATAGGAATATTCATGGAATTCTGTTCATGCTTTTCAAAACGAAAACTACCTCTTTTGTTTGAATGGCTATTATGAATTTAGCTGAATTCGACTATTTGCAGATTTGTATTCCTACCTTTTGAGAATAGTTGGTAGAGAGCAGTTCTTTGGGAGCCAGTTTCTCATTATAAGGAAGCTTGAATGTTAAAACCACATGTACTGGTCGACTACTTAGGTTTCCTGGTACCTGCAGTGAAAAAAATTGCTTAAAAATGAACGTCTGCCCTCGGATTATCTTTATTTTCTAAAACGACGTACGCTTTATATTAAAGACAACTCACCAGACGTTAATTTGCTCAACAATTGGGTCACGGATCAGATAAATCTTATTTTGTCACTAAAACTCATCCATTGGACAGTATTTTTTCCTGTAAAAGGCGCTGGCACAGCCTCTCTTATATAAAAGGCCTGAAAGTGCATCCTTAGTTGGCAGCCACTTGTATGGAACATTCCTGACGATGAAGAAATATTTGCACTCACTGAAATTTAAAATTAACTTCTTTTTAGGAAATTAACAAACCTGTCCTCGAAGTATCCATTTATAGCCCTTCATATTTTCGCATCTCTTCTACTGAAGCAAAGGTAGATCATGTTGAAAGATAAAAAAAGGTAGCTGAACAAGGCAATTTTAACTTAAAGAAACTCAGAAATTAATACTAGACAAATATGCATGCTTTTAGAGGCAGGTTTCAATCGCATGGTGGTTATAAGAGGTAATTTTTATTGCGGGTACTCATTTACACAGTTTCAAAGTTAGTGTCACCATTAATAGTTAAGAGGAGGAGTTTTACCTGTTTCAAAAACAGTTCCACATTTTCCTTTTTAGTATAAAGTAAAATAACGTCCAGTTCAAGCTTTTCTATTTGATTCATTGCCGTTGCTATTAGTTTGGTTTTGTCCTTCACTTTCTGTTTTTCAGGAATCGGAACAAAAGTCACAGTGAGCTCAGATCCCTGGGAGATGAAGTAGAAGTAGCCAGCTTCCAGCAAGCCATCCGCTGGAAAGAAAATAATAATTCAGATAGTTAAATGAATAATAGACAATAAAAAAGTCATTTAAATTAAGAACTAAATTTTATTTTGCCCCATTTGTAACATTGCGTCAGTGTGAATACCCTTTCTTTATGCCGAACCGGGAAAAACAAAATTGGAAAGTATTGTGTATGCATTATGTGGTAGATGATAAGAGGCAAATTAAAACAAAACAAAACAAAACAAAACAAAAAGAAAAAAATGCAACTTTATGCACCCGACAATTAGACACAGTTCTTTCATAAAATAAAATCCGTTAGATTAGTTTTACCGTCGTAAAGTAGTGCTATCTTTTCCCACTGAAATGTGTTTAAGATGTCTAGAGTAGCATGAGCGAAAGTCTTGTATCCTGGATGCATTTGAACTGATTTTGTACATTCATCAATTGGTCTGGTGTCTCTACTTAGGCTGATAACAGGAATACCAGTTACTGCAGACAGTGCACAAGTGTCAGACTTATTAATATGGTTTCCCTCGATCAGCGCAATGACATCTTCTTGCACAAACACTGAAGCTGAAAAAAGGATCAAAAATAGTAATAATGATGATAACGATAATGATGATGATGATGATGATGATGATATGATGATAATTTGTCGAGGGAAGAGGTTTTGACAATATAAAAAATGGAGTAGTTACACGAAATCTTTACTTGCTAACATGTTTGCTTTTTTTGTTTACTTTCTTACCCCCTCATATCTTACCTTGGTTTAATAAAGTGATATTGTCATTATGGCTAACCCTTTTCAACAGAACTGAAACATTTTTAAAAGCAGAACTATCGTTGGCAGCAAGGTCAATCACTTTCTTCTCTATTGAATGCTCATGAATAGTAACTGCAAAAAGAAGAACGACAATGGTTTTAGAAGAAAGAGTTTTAACTAGTGCAGATTTATGAATTGTTTGACTGGAATTCTTAGCTTAGAGCAACGATATATAATTCAATTCATCAGCCCTTGTGGAAGGCGGGAGGACGCTTCATATCTGCTTCAAGTTTGACTTCAAGTTATTTAATTATTGATCACAAAACAAAACAATATATATAAATAAAATAAAGTACCGATATAAGATACATTTCAACACATTTATATTGAAAACACTCCGGAATAAACAAACTCTTCATCCTATGATGATGGTAGTTTAGAGAGTATTTTTAAAAACGTATTTTCTATGTATGTATCTATTGATTATTCCCCTTGAGATAGCGGGATGTAACTTACCGTAAGTTAATGTTCTCCTCTCCGTCTGAACCTTGACAAAACTTGATGTTATTATAAACAAAGCCAAGAACATTTTCTTTGCCATCAGCAGTCCTTAGAAATAGACATAACAAATGTATTTATTTTTAATAGCTGGGAGCAATCAGTCTGCCAAACTGGACATTATGGTGCTTCTAGGTGCACGGTGCAATAAATAGGTTAAACTAACTCGTGGAACTACTAATCATAACTATTCAAACTAATCACAAGCAAATCATCCAGCGTAACACCAAGAAAACAGCTTCTCTCGGTAACACCTAAAATAAATAAATTTTGTTTTTATTTCCAACTGTTTCCGTCTTTTGAGTCAGTCAATGAACTATGTATTAAAATAAGGGAGGGTATTAAGCTAAGCTAAATTATTCTTTGTTGTTTCACCCAACCAGCTCAAACTGGTGGTTCTATTTATATTCATACACTCTATATTAGGCAAAGTTTTCAATTTGATGATATCAACTGAATAATTTAAGTGCCATATTCCTTCCTGTTGTGCTGAGTTGCTTATTGAATTTACCAAAGAGTGGACAACTTCCGAGAGAAAATTTTTTTGGGTTACGTTATAGGACGATTTTAAGGCTGTAAAGCTGCTTAACACGATTACAATAATTTAAAATTAAAAATAAAAATAAGTTAGGGACCCACCTACATAGGAACAGTACCCTGGAGCTATTCAAATTAAACAAGAAAATAGTTTCAAACAAATGTAGAGACTTGTCAGAGGAATAATTGACATCCATCCCGAATCAACAAGTTTTATTTTGTAATCGTGACCACGAACTCGATTGAAAAGTTTGGAAATCAGCATTTTTAATTCGCATAATGTGAAGAAACCGTGAGATGTCGCAATCAGACTAATTAAATTAAATTTACTAACATATTTGACCATGAACGATAACTTTTCCAAAATGGCGTGTGAAGATTTGCAATTTTTTTTTTTTAAAGTGGGTTAAGATTGGAGACGGCAGTATTCAGACGACATAGTTACAACACCATGTACAGAGGTCATCTTGGTTAAAAGCATTTTCCTGAAAATTCGATCAGTTTAAGACTCCTTTTCGCTAGGTATCCTTTTTTTGAGAATAACAAGATTATTCACCCATTTCACAGTAAACGAAAAACGTTTAATTTAAACGATTTTGATGTCTTTAACATTTTGAAGCATCTATCCTTGATATTTTAGAAAATAGTTTGAATGTAAGATGTAAAAAGCGCAAGCAAGCAAGATGTCTCTGATGCAACTTTGCAATGTCAAACATGAAAAGGTGTTGAACATGAACTCTGAACATGTAAGGGTCTAACTGAATTTTTCCAATAATTTTCTGATAAGTTTCACTTCCTAGAGCTTTCTTTTAGCTTCAAGGGGAGTTCTTTCCAATTACTTTGACTTAGGACAAGTTTACGTGACATAAGTACGTTTAGATAAGTTAGAGACAGAAATAAATCGAAGAAACACACTTCTTCGTGCATTCCTCTGTTTAAAAGGCTTTTTATATATTGTTCGACACTCGATTTGAAGACCCTTCATGCAGTGTAACTGAAAGAACATATTTTATAATGCCTTACCTGTCAAAGGCTAGATGCAAAGCGGGATCATTTGTTAATTCAACAGCTTAGTGTAGGCATATAAAATAGGGTGAATGACACTTGTACTTGACACTTATTTCATTTTTTAAATTAAAAAATGGTGATAGAGAATGACTCACTGTGCAGAAGTTACCTGTCGTATTTTCAACAATAGGCAAGGAATAGGTTGCGGTTGAGTTTTGAGCTTGTAAACACTTTTCACTTTACATGTATTTATAATGAAAGAAATCCCCCATGGCCGCTCGTTCCAGTTCACTACCGAGGGCTAAATATGGTGACATGAAATCCCAAACGAAGTATCATTAACATGTTCTGGCTAGTTAGTCACAATTACACGCTTGATAAAAAGTCATAGAGACATTATATACGGGTCGTGGATTAATCTGAAAGCCCGGAATTCTATTCGGGTCTTTCATTTAATAGATCGGTCAATGCATTACCGATGTACGAAACCTACATCTGCAGGTTTTTTTTGTTTTTTTTTTAATGATTCTCTCACTGGTAGGTCACTTAGAAATGTGTTTGGCAAGCAATTTGCTTCATTGTTTTCACGTAGCTTCCATTGTTGCACTATGTTGATAATGGAGATTTTAAAAGGGAAAAGCGCTTGGTATATATTCTTTGTCAAAATGATTTGGTAAGTCAGTGAATATGCGTTCAATAATGTCTGCCAGTTTCCTTAATAAAATATAAGTCGCCCATGGGGCCAGTACCTGGGCGAAAATTCGTCTATCTCCCTTAAACTGTATGAATGGATGATTAACAGTGCTTGTTGATGCCTTATATAAAAATAAAAAAAATTCAAAATTAATTTTCACTTACCCCACTTTACCCATTTTTTTAATTGATTTCATTTTTGTGTTTTTCTGATGCTGATTAAGTGTAGAAAGGAGAACTGTAAAGAAATGAATTCATAGGCTTGATTACCATGCAATGCACTCACATGCATCCAGGCCATTAAACCCTCTGGGGGTTTAACAGTCGTGTTGGCTATTCCATTGTCTCTTCAAAGGTTCAATATTTTCCAATTATATCTTGCCACATTACACGACAGATGTTATCATGTATGTGGAAACCAGAGTTAATATGGATAACTAAAGAAGATTTGTTTAAGGGTCAAATTTGCAAATACATGGGCGATGGGAAGAATATAGGGTAAGTTGCTGGGCGTAAATTAAAAATCAGCTTTTAATTATTTTGAAAAACGATCACTTATATACTGCACCTAACTAGAGTTCACTAGTAATAAATAATTTTAATTTATAGAGGTATATTAGCTAGGGAACTACAAGGCACTAAGAATGATTGTACATGTCTTTGAATATCAGGAAAATATAGAAAAATGGAATTTTTTGTCCAAAATTTCGGCTAGTAAAAGGCCTTAACTTACAAAAAAAAGGATAACAAGCAATAAATAAGCATGGTCGATTCGATGAAAATTTTTCAATGGCTGTGAGATGTTTTATCTTTTTCTTGTTCTCTATGCTTGTCTATCACGTCCAACGTGAAATACGTTCTTTGCTTAGCCACAGAACGAAAAAAAAAAAACATGTTTCTTCCAGCACAAGTTATTTTTCCTTTATGGGAACAAAGAAAGGCAATCAGGCTGGAGATCTCAGCTTGAATTCTCAAAAAGAAATGGGTTAAAAAAAAAAAAAAAAGGAAAGAATATTGAAGAGAAAAGGCTTGGTTTTTTTCTTTTTATATCTATTCTTTGATGAAGACCGGTGTGATGAAACATGTGAACAACTTAACATAGACAACAATTTACACTATCGAGTTTAGCCAAAGAGTATTTCACATTTATATATTAATCACTTCAAAATGAATAAAGAAAATGTAAAGTTTTAAGTTTACAACACATATGCTGCAGTGTTGTTGTTGTTGATTTTTTTTTTTTTTATCATTCCACCAACAAAGAAAGTTAAATCCTCTTTGGGTTCATCATGAGACTTTCAAACGAATTGGCTCATCTAAGAACCTTGTAGATAGGTTTGCTGACAAGGAATGCAAGAAAAATCGATGTCAGTGGTGGTGAAATCCATTCAATCAACAATTTCAATTTATAAGACTTTACCAATACTTTTGCATTCTAATATGATGTGACTGTTCTGTAGACAAAATCTTTATTTCCTTATCCACAGAAATAAGTAATTATGGAACGAAGAACTGTTTACGCTCTGTTTATGACATGGTTGTTACAAACGACAGAAACAAGGAGCAGAAGAATATTTACATTGGGTAAGTAATTCAGTGCCTTCCAGTTAACAATATGTACGAGGGAGGTTTTGGTATGACTCCCATATGAAAGGGGGCGGGGATACTCTTCTTCTCGCTTAGGGCTATAAATTTCGGATTTTGGTCTCACTTAGGGTGTTCTGGACAAAACACCGTTATATTAAGCCTTAAAGGTCTCTTTTAGGTTTGCACGCACGGAATAAGTATTAAAAAATTACCTATTTTCAATTCGTTTATTTACTCGATTCATGTTATTAATTAAAAGTTTAAAATGTTCTCTTAGGGGTCAAAAAAAGGTTGGGCCACTCCCAGATTGGTCTCCTTTTTAGAGGATGCTCCGTTATTTCATTATCTTGGCCCTAAGATCCAACTCAACAAATAAATTCAAGCTAGCTTGTTTCAACCGTTCAGATGGACGGGGGCCAACGTCTGGAATTGGCGAACTTGCATTTATTTGTTGAGTTGGATCTTTGATATGTTTGCTCGAATACGTTCTTTCTTTTGGGACCTTTTTGTTTTTTGTTAAGAAAGCAATAAAAAACAGTGAACCTCGTTATTAGTTAAAAGAAATTCAAAAATATTCCGTTTCTTCTTCCACTAGCAGATAAAAGTTTTTATTCTTGACTTTGTTGTTTACTTTCGTTTCTTTTTTAAGTCTTTTTTTTAGTTGTTGGTGTTTTCGTTTTGTTATTTTTTTTCTCATGCAGGTGTTGTCAATGGATGTTCATCGAGTTATAAAGCCATAAACTCAGCCATCGCAAAAACGTCGAATCTGAGGAACGTTACCATAGTTGTAAGAAGGTTCACCATTTCAAAAGATACAAACTTAGTTGACCAAGGTAATGTACGAAATAAGCTATACGCATAAAATGCAAATCAGTTAATACGAACGTTCCTTGGCACCAAATTTTTTTGTTTATTTTCCTTTTTGTATTCAAAGCAATGTATGTTATGTCCCTGTCATGATCTGTAAGAGTGCAATGCACACAATAGACGTCACAGAAACTTAGAGGCTATGTCGCCTTTGTTTTGTCCAACATGGCGCGTGGCCATTGAAAGTGTTTTCAAGATTATTTTGGAAAATGTCGTTTTGATATGCAGATAGCCCCCGAGACAAAGAAACTGGTAAGGGTATCGTCCTATCACCCCATCTCCTTCCGCTGTTCGTACTAACATTATCATATTTATTGTCATTTTTATTGTCATTGTCATATTTATTGATGATAAGCCTAAATTTTGGATCGCGGTATCTTTCAGCTGCGATATTACTTCAACAAAACGTAGTTGCACTCATCGAAGGAAGCGAAACAAAGAATTCCGCATGCGCACTATCAACAGTGACCGGGATTCCTCTTATCTATCTCCATGGAGACAAAAATTGCAAAAAGACGGTACAGATGTTGGTTGGACACAAAGCCTATGCGCGTGCTTCACTTGACATAATCAGTAGATTCAACTGGGAAAAGGTCACATTACTGTTCGAAGGTAAAATGTTCAAAACGTGATCTTTGAGTTTTTTTTTTTTTTTGTAGTATTGCGTGAAGATTTGAGATGAAATGATAGTGAAGTCATTGCTAATTTTTTGTTTTTATAGAGAATCGTTTACAAGAGGCTGCTTATTTCTACTCCATATCTCAAAGTTCAAGCCTCTCTGTAAGGTACGTTGAGATATCCGATGGACAAGACGCTTATGATGGAACGAAAGTAATATCGAGTATTACAGAGCAGATAAAGGGTATTGATCCACAAGTGTTACTTCTTTACACTAACAAAGACAAAATGGAAAACACACTACAACAGGTATTCAAATTTTAACCTTTTTTTATTGGGCCTCAAATGCTGTTTTTGAGAAATGATTTTTTGTTTGTTTGTTTGTTTGTTTTTTCTAACTCGGATGACAAACACAATTTAACTATAGATACTAACTAATAGATCATCCTTATTGTCATAATCGATATTATAATCATTATAAAATGAAACTGAGTTTAATAAACCATAAATCTTCTCATTATTTTAGCTATCTTTTCATATATTCACTTTATTATCTCCCTTATAATTCTCTAAGTATTCCGGCCATTCTTTTGTACGTTATGAATGTAAGCTCGTTGTCAGTGCTTCGCTAAATTTTTCGTTCTGTACTGGCAGATCGAATCATTGTTCGAAAAGCATGATCATATATGGATACTTCAGGGAGAGGTATGTAAAATGAATTTAGCTTCTATTTGGAAGATGAATTAATCCCCAGACTTGTAAAATTAAAGAGAGGCAAATGATTTAAATTTGATTTATGTCAGGAAACCAGAACTGAGTAACTATGTTTTAAGACGTGCGCAATAGAGGGCAGCATGTAGATTATTTCTGCCAGGCTGTCAGACAGTAACGTGATAAAATTTCAGCTATATGTATGACTTTTAATTTCACTATTTCACTATTTTTGGCTTAAAATAGAATTCATGCTGCCCTATAAATGGCTCGACACCAATGACGTATGACGTCATACTTCACTGAGCCGCTACAACCTAAATGGTTCTGAAGAAGAAATTATCATTGATTTACAAAAAAGTTAGTAAACTCACATTCTAAGGGTGAAGTTGAACCCAAAGCAAGCTGATAACGTATTTTGGTTTGGTGTCTATGGAATATTACAGCAGATATGTTATTGCCTAAACACTCCCTTCCATGTTACTAAAAAAAATGTTTCGACATCAAATTCAATTGTGACATATTTTGTGTTTTGTGCCACAGGTTCCGTTAAACTTGAGCTGTCTACCAAATAGTGTGATTGTATCTACGAGGCTCCCTTGCAAATTCGACAACGTCACAGCGTCAAACTCAGAAAATAACTATACTTTTATCAATAAAGTAAGTTGCTTGAATTGCATAACTTCCCAGAGTGAGCTTAATTAAGCAAAGACGTTTTTGAGCGACGCACGTCAGCCTGAAGTGATCTTTTTTTCATTTTTGAACTGTGGTTTTTCTCAAATGTTTGGACCAATCGTCTCTATAATAGTAAATAACTTAGAAATACAAAGTTGGTAACGTCAAGGTACTTTAAAATGAAAAAGACATCACTTCCGCTCTTCACGTGCGTCGCTCAAAAACGCCTTTGGTTAAGTTCCCCAACAATGCCGTGTATACATATGATTCCCTCTTGCTCTCTTTCAGATGATATCATGGGCTATTTCCTTTTGCATAAAACATGAAAAACCTGCGTAAAAGTATACAAAATGTCATAAAAACAATATTTAAACCATTACTGAGTGAAATAACAAGGAAATTTTACGCAGTATACAAATACTGTTAAGTCATCCAAAAAAAATCCAAAAAATTACGGAACGAAATGCACTGGAAATATTACGAAAGGAAAAGACAGTTTAGATATTTCTTAGTAACTTTCGAAAAAGGAGGAATTTCTTTTTTGATATCTGTCATCTAGCTTTATCTAACAAAAATGGCCGTTGCATTATTCCCAGGAGACTGGCTACGCATACGATAGCGCTCTGGTACTCTCTCAAGCGGTGAGCCACGAACCTTGTTCCTCTATGAATGGTATTAATATTGGCCAGAACGAAAGAAATAAAATGGCTAGTTGCTTGAAGAAGGTGCGTATTGAGGGCAGAATTTAAAAGTATTTTTATGATTGGCTTTCCTTGTGGAATGAAAGCAAACTAAGCTTAGTAAATGCGCTATCAAACTTTCCGTTCGTTGGTTTTGAATAGCACCTTCTCATTTCTATCAGTTACTCACGATCACGAAGATAAACAAAAAAAGACACTTCCAGGAAGACGCTTAAGATTTTTTATACCCAGAACTAACAAATCATTCGAAATTTAGCTTTGAATTTCTTCAAGAATCATGGCTTATTTGAGACGTTTTACGTCACTATACGAACTGGAAGTCTGTCTTTGAAAACTTGTTTGCGACGCATTGCTCAACCCACTTCCCACTTCTCGCTATTTGGATATCGGAAAAAACCACTGCATGAAGTGCTTTAATCAAAACTGATCGAACTTTCTGTATGAAACCTCGCTCGTCCACTTTTGAAGCCGCTACAGCGATCAACGAGAGTTATTTGTCTTGAGTTCTTTAACAAGGGAGATACTGACCTTAATATTGTTGACATCGGCATTAGAGGAGGTTTCCCTTCATAGGAGAATGAAAAAAAAAAAGTTAAAAAAATTGAAACAGACAAAAAAAAAAAAAAACTCAGAAACCTTACACGAAGGCATGGGAGAGTTAACTTTCTTGCTCAGAATTGACTAGAACCAAGCAAGAATAATTCCGTCTTTGCTTTAGAGGACTATTTTTTCTACTGTGTTTTTATCTCATTTTCCAACAGGTTCATTTGGAAGGTGTTACAGGAAACGTCCAATTCGATAAGGATGGGAAACGAAATGGATTTGAAATGGAAGTTCTAAACCTGAGAAATGATTCGTTTGAAAAGGTATGTCCCTAAAAATGCCAGAAAGCGTCTTGTTCCAAACTAATGAATCTATTTTCGAATGATATATAATGTTATAATGGTGAAATTGTAAGTATCAAATGTACGACCAGTACAGTACAGTACTAATTCATTCTCACAACTGCCATCATTAGCCAACTTAGGGTCACCATTAAAGATAAAAATAAAAATAACAATGTCTACTTACACAGCCATGTTAATGCTTTCTTTTATCTCTTTACTTTTGTATTTGCTAATGATGCGTCTTACGCATATCTGGGTCATATCGCGTGAGAAATTTACTTCAGCCAATCAGAAGCACTACCCAGATCTGGGTAATGACGCGTCATCAGTAAGGAATTTCTGCGCTTGTTCTAGGGGAAGCCAGTCGTGAATTGTCCGCTGTTTTCTCAGGCGAAAAATGTTGCGTTAGTGAATTTTTGTTGTCGTTTTCATCAACATCGCAGGTTTGTTTTTCTTGTCCGTAGATAGGTACGTGGAGTCAGTTAACTAGACCAGGAGTGGTTCTGTTTGATAAGATTCTGCAGAACAAACAAAGCTTATCGACACCCAGAGGAATAGAAGGAAGAAAGTTTAAAGTTGTAGTTGCGGAGGTAGAGTAAGAAATGAAAGGGGATAAATTCGGGAACTACAGCTTATGTTTTTGCCTTCACAGGGACACAGTCAGCTGATGCACATGCGCACTACATACCTTTTCTTAGCTGATTTGCTTATCACAAGGCACGCGCGTCAAACAGAAAGACAGAGCAGCACATCCCAAATATCTAAACAAACCTTGTGGATTTGATCTAATTGCAAGTCAAAATCGTGATTATAGACCCAAAGTCATATCAGAGCACTCATTTTTTTTGTATCCCATTGAGAATTCACCGATGGACTTCTCCAGAGAAAGCCAAACATCGACGAATAATTCCGAATTTGAAGAATCAGTAGAGGTGAGAAATGACACGAAGTCTTATTCAAGGCCGAGACAGCTTGATTTTTTCTAAATATATGTAACCTTTCTCCATCAAGTTTCCAACTATTTATAACGATGATTTTCTCTGCAGTGTTGTCGATTCGTTTCTCTTGTTATTTTGGAACGAAGGCGATTTCTCCCGTCCGGAGCCTACACCTCCTCTTTTCATGTTCCTTTGGATACTGTGTTTAACAAAATATGATAAAATAATGTTTTGGGATGAGTAAAAGTTTGCTCAGAGAGAGGTTTTCAGAAAAAAAAAATCGGGATCGAATGATGTGATTTCGGGTTGAGATAAACGCTTTTCAAACGGGAAAAAGTAGTGTCCAGGTCAGCGCGGCACCATAGCTGACTGTGTCCCTTTTAACCTAAGCTTATGCGTTTCGTAGGCATTATGGGAATAATAAAAGCCAGATGCTCAGGCTACTTATTCCCAATGGTCACCATGACTGCGAGATAGGTGCAAGGTGCATAACGTACCTTGTTTGCCCTAAAAACAAAAAGCTTTGCATAACCTTTGTTTTTTTATTTCTCTTGGGTAGTCAAAGTGGTCCCAAGAGAAATTGTAAACAATGCTAATGCAAACAAATGTCTCCTGAAAAACATTATATCAAACGTTACAAGCAAAAGTAATGAACTTTAAGAAACCTTTGGGTTAACAATTTTTTCAAAAACCGAAATCCGTTTCAATCTCATTTAATTCCTGGGTTGACAATTCTTTTCCGTTTTTTTTTTTCTCTTTTTTTCTCTTTAATTTTGTGGCCGTTTCCCAATGGCTATAACTGCTGAAAGTTTACTAAATGACTGTCTTTTTCTCTTTATTAACCATAAGGCAGCACCGTACGTCATGCGAACAGTTAGTGATGATGGCACTGAGTCATTTAAAGGTTACTGTATGGATCTGTTAGATGAATTGGCAAGAATACTCAAGTTTAGCTATGAGATCTATACATCCCCGGATGGACTGTACGGCGCTGAAACGGAAAACGGATCTTGGAATGGGATGATTGGCGAGTTGATCAGAAAGGTTTGTGAGCAGCTGCCTGATTCGACTTCATCATGACATCATTGCTATTGTTTAATATTATTTATGTTTTCCATCCTCTTGATTTTATCAGACACCTTACTATTTAATTTTTAAGTATTTCTCGTTTTATGTCTAGTTTGATGGAAATTTGGTTTCTGCCAATAAACTCAATAATATGACGTCATATTCCGTCATTGTGTCAATCAAATTATGCCCAGAATTTGGAAATGATGGGTACATTATTATGGGCAATTTTGGTGGTCGTAGCATGTGAAATTATATTGGGCGGGGAGGAGATGGGGGCCTTGGAGGCCCTCCCGGTCAGAGGAAGCCAAAAAAAGCCGGGTCTGAATAGGGTTAATGAAAGCTGTGACTTTCGACAATGAATCTCGGCTGTTGTGAATTTCGCCAAAATTGTACGACACACTTAGGGTGGATTTCCACTATCGCGCAACTTTTACGTGCGTGTACATGCACGTAAATTTTTACTCACGTAAATAGAATGGAGGCAATTCAAGACTTAAAGTGTGAGCTTAAACATGAAGTTAAGAGAGGTTCAACTTTTACCTTTACGTACGACCTTTCATACTTTGCCTCTATTTTATTTGCGAACGTAAATTTTACCCACTCCGCACGCTAGAATTACTCGACAGTGGAAATCCATCCTTAGGTGATCGATTGTCATGAAGTTTGATGAAAAAGCAAAGAAATAAAGCAAAAACAAGTAATTATTTTTAATAAACAAACAAACAAAAACGAACATAAATTTCGTTGTCAAGTCAAATTCAGAGAGGTATCATCATCTTTTGGGTAAAATTTGTGTTTTGCCTTTTGCCTTGCTATTCTTGCTGTTACTAAAATGACATTTAGCTAGTGCTAATCTAGGAAACTTTAAAGTTGGAGTTAGTTGCAACTGGCCATGATCTTTTAAATGAGCAAGGATTTGCTCAGCCGGAAGTGCGCGCGGCCTTTAATTCTGTGCAGGAGGTTTGGTAAAACGGAGCACTGATGGAGAGAGGGGGTAAATTGAGGGTACCCTCGGTCTCAGGTTTGTCAGTCTTATGCGACCGTTATACATATGCATGAGTTACCGACGTAAAATTTTCCTTTTGTTTAAATTTAAATTAAGGGCGGCGTATCCATTATAAACTCCTGTGAGATGTAAATTAAATTTAGCCGTGTTTTATGACGTATACACTACCAGTCATTTTGTTTTTCTTTTCTTTTTTTCGTTCAAAGAATGCGGATATGATTATATCAGATTTGACCGTCACAGAAAGTCGTGAGGAAGTTGTGGATTTCAGCATTCCATTCATGTTCTACACTGAAGAAATGCTCGTAAAGAAGCAACATTCAGAAGGATCAATTAGTCTTCTGCAATTTATGCATCCGTTTCACGGCGATGTTTGGACAGCTACTCTGTTCAGCTTGGTTGTCATTTCCATTGCATTGTTTTTAATCAACTACTACAGTCCTTGTGAACATCTAGGGACTAACGATAAACTGAGCTTGTGCGACAGTGTCTGGTTCACTTTGGCTTGTATGCTCCGACAAGCCTCTCAAAATACGCCAAGAAATTTGTCAGGTACACACGTAGAACCACTTAAACAAGGAGCGAGCTAGTTTGGCTTAGACATTGCTGAAACTTCCAAACCTACCAGTTTATCTATTATCTATTTATTTATTGAATCATCATCATCATCATCATTATTATTATTATTATTATTATTATTATTATTATTATTATTATTATTATTATCAATTCTCTGACTTTGGTGTCGTGCTTTTTCCTCTTATGGAGGCAAGTTGAGTCCATGAACTTAGGGCAGTCATCTCTCGTGAATTACTCGATTGATAGTGACCTCCTGAGTATGCCAGCAGTCCCAAGGAGGACAATCTTCTGAAGCTCTGTTATTATCATTATTATTATTATTATTATAATTATTATTATTACTATTATCATTATTATTATTACTATTATTTTTAAAAAAATCACAATTGGTCATAACGCCCGGCCAACGTTCCAATATTCTCTCTCTTCCCCTTTATTCTTTACTTGATCATTTCAACTGATCATGAACACCATAATGCTGCTGTTTTATCATCTAGGACGAATTCTAACAGGAAGCTATTGGTTCTGTGTCCTCATCTTAGTCTCTTCATACACCGCTAATCTGGCAGCCTTTTTTACTGTAAAAAGTGCAGAAACTCCCATAAAGAGCCTTGAAGACGTTGCTAAGTCTGCTTATAAGGTGGGGGTAATACAATCGTCAAGTGTATCAGAAACACTTAGGAAAAGCGAATACGAAATGCATAAGGCGATATGGCAGAGAATTGAGGAGTACAACACCGAAGTCCACAGTGTAAGTGAAGGTGTTGAGCTGACGAGAAACTTGGAGCAGTTTGTGTTTATTCAAGATGGGCCCGTTCTGAGATACGCTGCAAACCAGCCACCATGTGATCTTACAATAGGTATTAACAAGAACTGATATTCTCTTGTTATTAACAGAAATTAGTTATGATATCAAATTGTTTATAAATCCGGAAAAACTGCTTAAATACTAACCCTTAACAATACTTGCAAAAAGTTCAATTGATAAGAAATTAAAAACAAAAAAAAAAACAAGAAAACTGATGATTGAAAATAAAAAATGAAAAAATGAACTAGCAAATCAGTGAGGAATCTTTAGATCGGACAGCGGACGAATTAAGAAAAAAGGCGACGACATCAGTTTCAGCCCGGCTTTCATTCACAACGTATTTATATTCTAACTCAATTGGTCAATAGGCCATTACCGAATTGCCCAAGCCTCTGTTTCAAAGCGAGGCTTAGTGCGAAGCCTTTGATATGAAAATGATTTGTTATTCTCATGCACTAAAACACATTTTTACAAGTAAGGTTTTGGCCTCGTTTTGAAAGTGAGGGTTTTTGGAACTTAGAAATGTCCTAATATTAATATTAATTGACAGAGCGCCGAAGCTAGCGTATATCACTAAAGAATAATAGTCTACAAAAGAGTGACATGTCTATTTATTTCAACACAGTCTCTTTTCTACACAACTGTGTCGCACAAAACTGGTTTTCTTGAGTTGCGGCGGTGCTTCCCACCAAAGGTATAGGCAGACAGGCAATGTAATGAGACACTAGATTTCTCAGCTATGGTGCTCCGCTAGCTACAATCATCGTCAAAAGTGTTGGGAAGGTTGCCTTTTTTACCTCTTCTTTTCCTTCCTCCCCCCGCCCCTGGCCCAATGTTGATCAAAACGTTAATGTTAATGTTTGTGCGTGTAATTGTTCTGTTATATCCCAACATTGAACAGGGGGGACGGGGGGTATTTAGCAAAAGAGAAAACTCTCTTTTTTCAGGATTAAAATGGACTACTGTTAAGTTGTACAGCCTTCCCAACTACTTTTGTCTTTGATTGTCTGAAAATTCTGGGTGTGGCCGTGAAAGATCAAAACTCGACGACTTTTTGTCAGTAGAAACGTCTTCAAAAAACACTCGTCAACAGTACTCTGTTGAAAAAAAATATTTGCCGTACCTTGTTAAGACAGTTTTTGGCGCACACACCTGTTTATATTTGGCATGTTTTGCAACCCGGTAAGTAGAACTATTGCTCTTTCCGGAGCACAGGAAGAGAGCCAAAATACAAATGAAAGACTATTTTCGGTGAAAACTATTGACTGTAGCATAGGCTGATATGCTTCAAATCTTAAAGCAAGATATAGTGCGTTCACCACTTTCTGCAAAAATCATTCGGATTGCGACAGTGTAGCTGACATCTTCCTTAGCACTCCCCACTTCTTTACAACATTCAGCACATGCCAATTTGCCAGGCGAGCAAACTATGAGGCTGAGTGGAGATTTGCCGAATTGTAGAGGCTACTTTCTCCGGCTGAAAAACTCTAGTTAAGCCCTTGTGGCACTGCTTTTCGAATCTGGTTTCAGAAAATGACAACAAAGTACGCTGTGGATTTAGAATAAGGCGTCTCTTGTCTTCGTTAATCTAATTAACAAGGGTAACACATGCAAAGTCATCACACACCACATTACTCCATTTTCGTAGCCGAAAAAAATTCGTTTATAGTAGCGCTAACGACAAAATAGCCTAATTGACTTGTTCGGGGCTTTGCAAGGACTTAACCAAAGGAATTTTAATAGATATTTTAGCTTAATTCTAAGTAAAATACAACAGTACTCCATGGATAGCGTTAAAATTAAACTAACTTTGCTAATTGACCTTTATAAGGCACTGTTTAAATGGAGTAATGTTGGGAAACAGTTGTTAAATTTATCTCCGTAGATAAATGCGACAAAAGCTGTCCATATTCTTACATGATTTACATGTTTTTACCCTTTTCTTGTTTGAAAGTTGGTTCATTGTGCATATATTTCGCATTTTCTTGTGGAGTAATGTGATGGAGTAATGTGGAAACTCATGTTGTTTACTGTTCTCAAATTAACTGAATGATTGACAGGCGACGCTAGCACAGCAATTTCTATATGAACACTGAACATGGCTGAATGAACTCTTTTATAGAGGTTCCGTATAACTTTCAGGCCTTACAAAAATACAGTCTACAAGGTTTTAATTCGGCACTTATCTCACTCCTTCCTCGCAACTACAAACATCACGTTTTTCTAGGATACTTTGACACCGCCAGAATGCCCAAAAGACTTTATTGTGGCAGCCTTTATGCCATTTCTATTTGTAACATCTTTCAAAATATTTCGCTGATAGGAAACGGCAAAAGTTAACCAGGAATAATGCCGCTAATGAAAAAGATACATGTATACATGACAACGACAGCAATTGTATAGCATTTTTTGCTTAAAAATACCCTCATGACTTTTCGTTAAATCTAGTGAAACAGACCACCTGTGGCCATTCTTTCTATGTAGTCCACGCGAAGAAAACGTCTGTTGTTTCATGAGGAAAATTAAAGGCCTTAAATGTTTTCTTCTGACGTTCTTAAAAGAAAGCGTTTTCACCCAGTGGACTTTGTGGTCACGCTGTGAAATGTCACGCACGTCTGATGCAAAATTCTCCTATTTATGATTTTACTGAAATATAATCTTTATTGTATTTTTTATATACTTTGGAAAGTGCATTATCAGCACAGTTCCAGGGCGAGATATCTCAATCAAATGTTAAATGCGACAAGTTTTATAAACGTTTAAAGTTGATTTCCTATTCTCCTACAATCATCGTCAAAAGTGTTGGGAAGGTTGCCTTTTTTACCTCTTCTTTTCCTTCCTCCCCCCGCCCCTGGCCCAATGTTGATCAAAACATTAATGTTAATGTTTGTGCGTGTAATTGTTCTGTTATATCCCAACATTGAACAGGGGGGACGGGGGGGTATTTAGCAAAAGAGAAAACTCTCTTTTTTCAGGATTAAAATGGACTACTGTTAAGTTATACAGCCTTCCCAACTACTTTTGTCTTTGATTGTAGCTACGGTATAAATTGCTAGCATAGAGGAAAACCAATCGGGATCTACTTTTTAGCCTTTTCCCTCGCCTTAATCTTTATCATATAAACGTTCGAGCTTGCTTTCGTACTATTTGTTATGAAAACGTTGATTGCTTTTCTTTTTTTTTAAATCCCTGCGTCATCGTTCATCCCTTACAGAATTGGTGCTTTACTGAACAGTGGCGGATCAAGGGGAGGGGCCCTTCTTATTTTTAGACCTAACTGGGGCCCGAAGGGACGAAGAAAAAAAAATTTAATCCCAGCCCCCCCCCCCCTAAATCTCAGGGTCTGGAAGAGCGCACCCCCTCCACCCCCCTATTAAACGTGTGGATCCTTCACTGCTGAATAGTTTTATTTGAATTGCATGAATTGCACTATTCACTACCCCCCCTAATTCTCAAAAATTTTTTAACATTAAGTTTCAGGTCTAAACAAAGCCAAAGGACTTGCTCTTGCTTTGCAAGAGAATGATCCGCACACCCGCCTGTTCACACTTGCCATTCTACGTTTTCACGAAAGTTCTTTCCTGAAGCAGCTGGAGAATAAATGGTGGAAATCACAGGGTTGCCCCGAAGAAGAAGATTCAAGTAATAAATTAACTGTAATTTATTTTTGCCTGCGATTTAGCTGCATGCGCTCCGTATCATCGGGTGTCCGTCATAGTCTAGTGTAAACAAAGCTTTTTCACTCACTTGGCCAGCACTTATACAACTTCATGGGAACAAAACAAAGTATTTAGATAAGAAAAAGTTTCAACTCTCAGCGGATTGGGTCTAGACACCAAAATGACAACCGCGTTTCATTACGTTTTGGGACAACAATATGGCGGACGTTATGTCATGTGAAAACGATTTAAAAACTTAAGGGAGAGAAGCCATTGTGTACTTTAATGCAAAAGAACACAAATTTTTGTTGTATAAAACAGAGAAAAAGTTCCTCGGTATCCAAAAGTGCTTACTACGTTGGCTATTTGTGTTTCTATTTACGTTTGTTCTAAAATTTGAGCTAAAATTTAGTAGTTAGCAAGGGGAACCCAATTTTTTTTTTTTTTGTAGTCTTTATGTAATGAATGTCAAATATGTAAATTTCAAATTTTACAAATATCTCAGTGTAGCTATCGTTGCAGAGAAATACCTTAAATTTCTAGATTTGTTAAGCTTTAAATCGGCAAGTGTTTGTTTGTTTGTTTGTTTGTTCGTTTGATTTTCTTCCTCAAGCATTGATTCAGAATCGTATCAAGCTAAGTAGCATGACGGGTGTGTATGCCTTGTTAGCTGTTGGGGCCGTCTTCGCCTTTCTGGTGCTGATTGCTGAAATACAATGGAAGAGAAAACACAAAATGTTGAGAAATATACCAAGGTGTGTAAAGAATTTCAAATAATTTTTATTAGCCAAAAACAGTGGCCTAACAAATATTTAAATTGTCAGTCGTCGACTTTTAACAGTTATATATCGGTTTAAACTTTATCTCTTGCGTCAGTCAAAAGTTGCATTTCACTGACCTTAAATTTGATCCATTATTAAGATAGTATTATAGACCTTTATATGCCTTTTCTCTTGTTTCCCATAAGATATTAAACCGTTAAGCAGTTCGCGATAAGAATATTCTAATTCTTTAAATTTTGAGGTATGATAAATTCTTTGAGATTATCATTGATCACGTCTTAAAAAGGGTGGCACAAGAAACATCCTTGTTCCCGGGCTGTACTGGACTTTATTCAGTAATAAGCTTCACTAAATATTTTACCATTTTATTGAATTTGATCATACAGAAAGTGACAAGAAATAAACATGAGTAATTTCTCCTTGAGGAAACGGTTAACGGAAACCATTCGCGTCATAAAAGTTATAATTATTTTTTCTTCCTTTGTAGGGTAAGCAAAGCTACAAGCTACAAAGCTACAAGTGTGCAGTTAAGCTTTGGCTAATTGGGTTTACAGTCAAGTGCTCACATCAGAAGATTTTATTTGTCATGCACTACGGTCAAAAGAAGTCAAGATTGCCTCCCCACAGAATGGAAGCCGAATGGCCAGAATTCATGGAAAAAGAACTATAATAAAAAAACGATCGCACAGTTATAAATATGTGCACAATACATTGGCTAGGTTTACTCAGATTGTCTTTTTTGGACTCTGTAGGACTTTTCAATCTAATGACAGAGTTCAAAATAGCCTTCAGTTGATAATAAGAATTGCTTGGCAGTGAATTTAAAATTGGCCATTTCACGGCAGGAGCCCTTACAATCCACACAACAGCCACTTTCTGCAAAGGGAACAGTAATAATAATTTCAATTTGCATTTTAATTTGACAAAAATAAAGCAATTTTAACACACTGAAATCTTGGGAGATTTTAGTGATACTCTTTTCTATGTTTTTTATAGTTACTTCTTTAGGCGCTTTGAAAGGGGGTATCCAGATGAAAACCATCTCGGGAATAAGTTCTTATTCGCTATAAATCGTCCTTTTTTGTATAATTCAGTTTTATCTAAATTTTCATACTCGAGTGGATAATATATAAAATGTAAAGCTTCCTACAGCATGTTTTCACAAATTACGGCCATATATTAAAGCAGAATTTAATGCCTAAATTTTCGCCAATCTGACCTTCGAGAAACACCTACATTTCCCGCCTCTAAGTACCGTTTAAAAAAATCAGATCGGTCTGTTGTCAAAAATCATACAATATCTAAGGCAGTATGAAAAGGCCTAGGAGACTAGAAACATGAATTAGTGGTTTGTATTGGGTGAACCATACGGCTTGAATTAAAGAATGTATTTACCACCCAACATGATTTCTTTTGTTTATTAACCAATTACAGTGCTCTATTCTCTTGCTTAACTTAGAATCTCCTTTATTAAGTTCCATCCTTTACTGAGTTCTATCCTATTCTTTCAAATGGCAAAGAGCTTGAAGTACTTCGAAGCGCAAAGCTCCTGGGTGCGACTATAATTACAAGCGATTTATCTTGGAACGAGCACGTTAACGAAACTGTAAAGAAGGCGTCTAAACGTTTGTATTTCCTAGTTCAGCTTAAACGGGCAAGGCTTCCATGTAGGGATTTAGTCCTCTTTTATGTCACATGTATAAGATCAATCCTAGTTTATGCAGCGCCTGTATTCTTCTATGCTCTGCCCATGGCCAGGTATTTACGGTGTAAGCTGAGCATGGAGCGGGTCCAAAAAGGGCATTGTCATTCATCTGTCCTAGCCTGTCTTATGACGAGGTACTTAAAGAAGCTGGTATTCCAACCAATGTTTCATATTGCGAGGACATATGTGACATGGTTTTTAACGCTTCGGCAGCAAGTATAACAAATATGACAAGTTATTAACTGAAGCCAATAAGTTTCCATATTCACTAAGAAATCAGTGACACTTTGCACTTCCAAAGTTAAGAACACTTTTGTTTTGTCATCGTGCCTAGAGTACAAATGATTCGGTTTCAATGCTTTTATTTATTATGTGCACGATTTTTAATATTGATATATTGTAAATTATTACATTTTTAGCTTTAGTTAGTTTTATTTGTAAATACGCAATTCAGCCTAATAAAGTATCCATTTTGCCTTTGTTTTTGCATTATATTTTCTCTTCTTTTAATGTATTGCTCCCAGCCAATCAGATTTAAGAGCTTTTTCCGCGTATACTATAAAATTAAAAAAAATGGCGTCCACATCTTCAATGCATGTAAACCGCAAAACAAATTAATAAAAAATTACCTAATTCGTATGGTACATTTATCACTGCTAATTGATATTGAAAGCAAAACAGGGGGTTTAATTTTTGTTGTTTCAGTTTTAAATTAGACGCTCTTCTCCGGCTGTGCACTAATTATTTTCACATTGTTGAAATAAAACCGTCAATTTGTCAAACGAGAATTCAACAGAATTGTAACACATATTTTTCGCTCAATATATCTTGTAGTCGAGATTCTGTTTACCCCGTAAAGCATTGTTTATCAATCAAACAAACCGCCAAAATATCGATACTTAAGTTAATAAGCAAACGAGGAAAAAAAGCTGTATTTAAAGACATATTTTGGGGGTTAATTAATTATTTAGACCTCTTATTTTTAGCATTTGATGGGCCAATTGTCTTTAAGTCGCCTACGTTGCAGCCATGGATAGGATACAAAACAAATGGCAAAGTTTCCTTTAAAAACGAAAATGAGTTTTAGGTTAGAAGAAGCAATTATTCTGTACTTCGAGATTTAGAGTCTGTAATTAACAGGTAAATATTGATAATGCAGAAGCGCACATCCCTAATATTTTGTCATTATCCTAGACATTTTCCTACAATTTTGTATTAACATATTTTTCCTGTCCTACTTTTAGGTAACCAAAATGGAAATAAGAGATATTGCCTTGGTGATAATTGTGTCGTCCCTGCCGAAAATATATACCCAAAATAAGATGTTTACTTGCGGTGAGACCTGGAGTGAAACATTTGGAATAAAACTCTTTTTTAGCTTCTTTATACTATCTTGAGACAACGTTGAAAAACAAAATCTGGGCAAATGCATTACTTATTAAATGCTTACGTAATTCAAGTTATTCTCACTTTGTCTTTTGCAGGTGTTATTAGCTCGGGATCCCTTAATTTTAACGCGCTAGATATGGTCATCAATAATGCTTCCACTACGAATAATTTCTCAATATTCTTGAAAACTTTCAACCTATCAGAGACGATTGATCTTTTCAGTCAAGGTAAGACGTGGTTGTGATGAACTGTTTTTAAAAAAAAACCGACCACGTCCATATTTAGTTTTCATGCGATTCTATAGCTTCATAACATTTGGTATTTTTAACGATTTTGATCTGCATGGCCAACCAAAGGTTCTGAGACCTGTCCGGATGGTAAACGCTACGAATGCATCAGTTTTTAATCTCGGTTGTAATTTTTGAGAACCCGGATTCTCAGTGATTCATTGCTGATCTGCCTGCCAGTTTTGTGTGCTAACATTCATCTACCATTCCTTTTTTCATTTTCTTTTAATGCTGTAATTGTGTGCATCTGGAAACGTGCATGAAACACGTTGTATGTCAATGCGAGGGTCGATGAAGAGACTTCGGTCCAATGTGGATGTTGCCAGTTCCGTCGATTAACATAAAAATTATGTATATTTTAAAACAAATGAGCTTTAAAAGTGTTGTTATTTTTAATGCTACTGACCTGAATTTTCCACTCAATCCATGATATTTTCAGCTTCACTACTCATTCAGCAAAACGTTATAGCACTAATCGACGAAGGAGGTCACACAAAAACTTCATCGTGTGCACTATCTACATTAACAAACATCCCCCTTATCCGCCTCAATGGACACAGTACGCCATTCAGCCAGTGTGAAAAGCTGGTCCAAATGTCACCTGGGTATAAAGATTATGCGCATGCTTCTCTGGCAATCCTCAAGACGTTCAGATGGGAAAACGTTGCCTTGGTTTTCGATGGTACGTTGAAATATATATTTTTGTTAATGAAGGATTTTGACAACATGTAGAAAGGGACAGGAAGGGGAGCGATGCTTGATTCTAAAATTACTTGAGATTCTTCTTAAAGAGAATGCTTTAAAGGTAATATTTTCTTTCTTTGTCTGTTTATTTGTCTTGGTTTGTTTTGTTTTTTCTCCTTGATTTTTTAGGGGACTGTTTATATCCCTCTGGTGTTGAGCCGTACCCAAAAAGCTTTTGACTCCTCCTCTTTTTTAAGTTTTCGAAAGATTGTATCTGATTCTAGGATTGAATGTTAGTAGTGGGTGAAAAACCACTGAGGGGTAAAATGCGGATATACCCTCAGAGTAGCTATGTGACTACTGATTGACAGACATCTTTTTCTAGCTTGATAACTAGAAAGGGAAAATTTAATTAAGAAATTTATTTAAAAAGATGGGAACAATTCAACTGATACAGTCTTTAATGCTATTTAGACAGGTATGTTGTTGGTAGAACCCAGGGAAAGAATTGCCTCAAGTTCCCGTAATTTCAAGAATATCCAAGAAAACATAGCAATTTAATATTGGCGTTATAGCATTAAAATCGATTTTGTCTAGAAGTGAGGTTATTATGTATGATGTGGAAATTCCTTTTTATCATGATTCCAATATCCGCAACCTGACCATTGGATTTCTAAATTGCTACAGTGTAATAAAGTCAATCAATCAATCCTTCAATCCTTTTTTCCACAGTCAGCATTCATTAAGCGAAACTCAGACACTTTTTCTTAATCATTTTAGGAAATCGCCTACAAGAAGCTGGATATTTCCACGTGCTATCGCAGAGATCAAATATAAACGCAACTTTAGTCGAGATTTCTGAGGAAATGTTGAACGAGGACTCGACAGTTCCCATATGGAGAGCAATCGAAGATATAAAAACCCTTAAAGCTGAAGTCGTTCTTCTTTTTACAAGTGAAAAAAATATGGGCATGATGTTGCAACAGGTTACTCAGTCTTTGGATTTAATGTCTGGCTATTGTAATATTCAGAAAGTATAAGGTATTTCATTGCGGTTTTTATATATCTACCCGTTCCTATTTATTTCTTGCCAGGCTCCTCGTAGGGACAAATTCTACAAATGGATACTTCAAGGACAGGTTTGAAAACCAGTGTTCTGTTATTAATCAATCCGTCGTCGTAATTTTAAAAATATTTTACTCCTATTACCATTATTACTTTTTCGAATTGCAGGTTCCGTTAAACTTGAGCAGTCATCCAAACAATGTGGTTCTAGCAATGAAACTCAGGTGTCTTAAAAATTTATCTTCTAGGGCCGAAAAAGAAACGGTAAGATTTAACGGTATAGCAGCGCATAAAATTCAACTTTTTGGCGTCTTTAATTAACAGGTTGTGTTTTTCAGACCGAATGCCTTAGAAGATTGCAAAGGCTGCAGATGAGTGGTCTACAGCTGTGTCACCAACCCTTTTTTGCAGTTCCATAATATTAGTTTGAAAATTGCCTATTTTAAGTGTTTACAAAACGAAACGAATCAAACACATTTAATAAGATCTCTCGTCTTAAACAGGAAAGCGAAATGAGCAATTTTTGTTTTAAACAGTGTCAGGTTTTGAAGGCTCCGGCGGTACGCCTCTCCCCAGGCTTCCCTAGAGTGCCCCCCTTCCCCACCCACTCCCCTGCTCAGAGCGCATACGGACTACTGAAATTCTCTATTACAGCAGAACCCTCCGCAGTAAGGGCTTGGAGAAAAAGCTTTTCAGAACTTCCTGATTTGGGTGATTGTTTTGTGAATATATACAAGTCATCGATAAGATAATAAGCTTAGACAATTCTCTTTTAAGGTTATGCACAGAATAACCACGACAAACAAAGAACTACTGAAATATAAATTAGCCTCTGATGACAAGCTTCCTTTCTACTTCCACCCTGATTCAATTGAATACATCTTTATACGTTGTCAAAAGTCAAACGAATTCCTTCCCTAAACGAATATCGTAAGGAGAACGTACAACTTTTTAACAAGCTAAAGTTATTTAAACATTCGAAGACTCCTCTGCATTGCAAATGTCAAATTTAACTCAAAGCAAACTCAGTCTATTGGCTTTATTGTAAAAGAAATACTTGTGTACTTGCAAGAACATCGCAACGAAACTTAATTTAGATGAATTTTTACGTAAGCTTTTGGAACAATATCGCATTGAAAAGTTGTTGCAAACAATATTAAATAAGTGTGGCAACTTTATATTTCTATCGTTTTTTTATTTGAATGTTTATTTACGTTTTTGTGTGTTGAAGCTGTAACTAAGTTTTGTTACCAACTGACCTATTTATTTAGTTTTTGCTATTGCGGTGTATATTGACATTGTTAATTTTTCGTCAATAAAAATATTTCAAAAAAATACAGCAGACCGCGGTTCTTATTAAAATAGTTCACATTTTGAATTCACCTTTGCGTTGGTACTCTTTCCATAGGTACAAGCTTCACTAGCTTACGATGCCGTTCAAGTTATAAGTCAGGCTTTGAACAGGGAACCTTGCTCATCGATAAATGGAACCACAATTACTTCAAATGAAAGAGATACCATGCTAACCTGTATCATTAAGGTGAACTAGAAATACGTTATTGTAAAAATCTTGCCAAGCTGAAAGGGTCACCAGTGAAAATAAAGGGAAACAAGCCAAAGGGAAAAAATGTGATTAAAAAAAATCAGAACAAAAAAAAATGTACAAAGAAAACGAAGCTTCCACACCGGGATTTGAACTTACACCAAGATTATCTCCTGCGGGACAAGTTCGCTACTAGACCACTGGACCATGCTTCCCCTGATCTTTTAACAACGGAAAATTAATAGACTTAGGCATTTTTCTCTGCCATTCACGCTGTTTGAAGCTTGTGGAGCTGTGTTAATCGTGAATTCAAAGATAAACTGGAGGAAAATTAGCTTTTTTTGACGAGTATTTCAAAGTCATTTTGCATTATTTATTCATTTCGGTCGGTCGGACCGAAATGTCCCTTTCCATTTGACAAAATTGTTGTCCCTAGTACTGCTCCTTTGTATCCTGCTTGCAAGAACAATAAGCAAACGGGCGGTGCCTTGGCTCGGGTCTGTGCAAACGGAATGTATCGTTCCATTGGGCAGGATGTCAGTAAAAGGCGGGGTCAGGGTCGCGGTCTATCTTTTTTTTTTTTTTTTTAAGAATGCTGTCTTAGGGTTAGGGTTAGGGTAGGGTAAGCGTTAGGGTAGGGTTATAGTGAGGGTTAGTGTCAACCCTAACCCTATCCCAAGCCCTAAAACAGCATTTTTTAAGATAAACCCCGACCCCGACCCCGCCTATTACTGACACCCCATTCGGCAAGTGGGATTACCGAAATTTCAAACGGAAATTTTGTTAAATAGCACTGTTGAGTTTGCAGGTCGCTGTTATTTGCCTCAGAAATACGTACGTCACGATCAACATGAAAGTGCACCACCGAAATCAGTGGCAAGCCGGTTCTAACCAGTTGTGTTGCCTGGAAGCCTAAAATGCACCATGACATGACGCTGAATGGCACCTTTTGGCGTTTGTTTATGGTTGGTTGCTAGGTAACTGCGGAAGATATCTACATACTCAAACCGTGATTCTGTCTCGTTAAGCGATCACGCGCGTTCCACGAGTGATGCCAATTTCGACAAAATTATAAGCTCGCTTTCGCGAGCAACAAATTGATTTTACACCTGAACCTCTGATGTCAGAGACTAACTTACAAAAGTAACTTTACCGTAGAGTGATAAAAGACCATTGATGGAAGTGTTGTAACTAGAAACTGTGCCTTCGATGGAATGAACCTGTGCGCATTATTGAACTTAAACCTGTGTCACTCAAATGCGAGGAACAGTGTCCTTGATGGTTTTGTTACAATCCACAGGCCAATGTTGACGGTGTAACAGGAAATGTCCAATTTGACGAAGGTGGAACGCGAAACGGGATCGAGTTTGATATCTATAACTTAAGGAACAACTCCTTCCAAGTTGTAAGTAATGAAGATTTTGGGTATTTAGAATAAGCTTTCCCAAGGGTAATACCGTATTCTCGTCATTTCCTCAAGTCTTCTACAATGCTTGAATTTGTTATTTTGATTCTTTCATTCTAGTTATGTAAAAATGTGTTTTAAGCATCATGAAAATCATCAAGTGTAAAAATAAAATTAGAGCTCTTGGGATCGATTGTGCCGTTATGACGTCAAGAATGACGTCCTGAAAGTGGTTTATGACGTATCGTGTACAGATCCCTTTTTTATTTTTCAGGTAGGTTCATGGAACTCGACGAAGTATTTCACCATGTTTGAGAATTTGTCGTGCAACATGGGAAATCGATTTCAAAGAGGGGCCCTGGAAGGAAGAAAACTTAGAGTTGTTGTCAAGGAGGTATTGAAAGCACAATTTGTAGCTCTTTAATATTTACTTTTTGACAGATATGAATTTTTATACCTATTTTTTCTTTTTTTTTTTTTTTCAATCAATACAGGATGACCCATTTGTTATTAAAGAGAAGAGCAAAGACGGTGCTATTTCATTCAAGGGATACTGTATTGATCTGTTGGAGGAATTGGCGAGAAATCTTCATTTTACCTATGACATCTACACCACCCCAGACGGTAACTATGGCGCCGAAGCAGAAAACGGGACTTGGAATGGCGTGATTGGAGAGCTGATAAATCGGGTTGGTATCAAACAATCAATTCACTTTCTTCCTGGGCGAAAGAATCGACGACAAACACAAAAAATAACTAAAACTATAACTAAAAAAATTTTTTTTTCTTTCCTTGAAAGCGTGCTGATATGGCTGTTACTGCCTTAACCATAACCGAACGCAGAGAGAATGTAGTGGACTTCGCCGTTCCATTCATGTACTACTCTAAAGAAATGCTGCTCATGAAGAAAGAGTCGGCAAGAATTGATCTCCTACAATTTGCTGACCCGTTCCACGAAAATGTTTGGTACACTTTAGTTGCCTGTATCGTCATCATATCTGGGGCTGTGTTTGTCTTGAACTATTTCAGCCCTTATGGCTACAAAGATGAGAATGGCCGAGGGACATCCTGGGAGTTCAGCTTTCCCAACAGTGTCTGGTTTTCATTGAGTTGTATGTTGCAGCAAGGAGAAGACAAGACACCAAAGAGTTTGTCAGGTGGTGGTCCTAAGTTAGCATGTCATGAAGTTTTATGTTCCCTTTCATGGAAGTTATCCCAAATAGTACCTTGCGATGTACAGAAGTCAGTTCTTTCTAGGTCAGGTCAAGATTTCTTCTCTTTTAAGAGAAGAATATTTTCTTAAGAACTCTTAGCTGCTCGGCTTTGGAGTCGCCGGAGCCAAATTTTCGGAAGCATAATTTGACTGGCGAGCGACAGCTTAACATGAACAAAAAGTAAAAAGCTCCAAGTACTGGAGACATGCAGTTGCAGTCTATCTGAGGTTGACAGCGTGGTCTTCTTTGTCCTATTAAAATGAAGAAAAAAAGGCAGTCTAAGGGGTAGCATCAATCCCCCACTGTCCTTCCCTCCTAAAATAAAGCGCAACTTTATAATTAGGTTAATTTATGATATACTATATGCTTTAATTATTTGTAAAGTTTTCATAACGTACGTTTTAAAGTCTAATTTTACTATTCAGGTCGCGTCCTCACTGCCTGTTACTGGTTCTGCATCCTTGTTTTTGTTTCATCCTACACCGCCAACCTCGCAGCATTTTTCACGGTGAAGAATACAAGGTATCCAATCAATAACCTCAATGACATCTTAACGTCGTCTTATAAGGTAGTAATAATATCCTCAGGAAGTACTTACGAGTTTTTCAAGACAAGTCAGATAGAAAAGCACAGGCAAATTTGGCGCAGGGTTCAAGAGCATGGCACAGTTGCTCAAAACATCAACCAAGGCATCCAATGGGTGAAAGAAAGAGAAGAAATGGTGCTAATATATGATGGCCCGAAGCTCCGTCATGTTGCCGACAAACAACCATGCAATTTGACCACAGGTAACTACAGAATATATTAAGCTCTGAATTCAAGCGACAACAGCTTGGGTGGTGCTTGGTTTTCATTCACAGTTCCGTGTATTAATGTTAAATTTCAACTCTCCCGTCAAAATCTCTCCTTTACTCGTGTTTCAATTCCCACTGCCGCCGTGACTCTATTATGTAAGATATTTAATAATAATAAAAATTAATAACAATAATTTTATTACTTAAAAATAAAGAGCAAATTCGAATATGTAAATGATCAAATGCGCGTTACAGAGATATATTATCCTGGGTGCCGGGTGACATTTCTTTTGCGGTTTCCGATTTCTGTTATAAGTCTCGCGTTCGCCCATCGATCGTAGCTTCGGCATTCGGCCGACACCGAAGATTAATTCCGCCGCACGCGCGAAAAACCTCTGGTACCCAGGCTACAGATTCATGAAATACTGAATGGAATAAAGTAAATACATGGTTATTTTCAATGTAAACTAAGAAATCCCAAAAAACTAACAAACAAACAAAAAACATGTACATGTATAAATCATAATAACGAAATATTGAAATGATCTAAAAATATTAAAACATTCTAAAAACTATCTAAAAGTCATAGGTTAGCTAATATTAGACAAGAAATTCTTTACCAAGGTTTTAAAATGGGAGAAATTCTTCTCATATTGAATGTGTCGAGGAAGGGCGTTGAAAAGCGATGGCGCCATCACTGAAAACGACCTGTCACCTAGCGTTTTCGATGTCTTAGCATGATATGGCTCAAGAAGCAGATCATATCATTTCGTCGAAGAAAATAAGTGTTGGGACGCTGAATAGTTAGCAGACAACAAAAGATAAGTAGGTGCTAGCCAGGCCATAAAGGTCAGTATAATTATATCTATTATAGTGAATGCGCTCCTTCTCTGGCAACCAGTGAGTGCAATTAATTACTACAACAATGGAGTAATATGGCTAAAACGGGACGTGCCTGTAACTATTCAGCAGCCGCATTCTGAACGCGCTGTAATTACTTGGAGACTTAGCAGGGAGACCATAGAGAAGGCTGTGATAGTAGTCTTTTCTATTCCTTATAAAAGCATGAATTAAAGTTGTTGTTGTGTTCTTCATTATTATCTACATTCATTCTTTCTAATACAAGGCCGCCTTTTGCCAATTTTAGTGCCTGGATTAAGCACATCTAGTGCGTTTTCCTTTGCCTTCCAAGAAAAAGATCCAGTGGTTACGGATGTCACGCTAGCTATTTTAAAACTACACGAGAACGATTTCCTGGTCAAATTGAAAAGAAAGTGGTGGGACAATGCCAACGAATGTCGCCAAGAAAAGGAAAAAAGTATGAAGGCTCTTTGTATGTATGCTATATTCCCAATCATAACAAAAAAAACTCTTTTACGTACGGTCTATTTAGACGCATCCAAGACGTTTTGTGGTGAGGCTAAACGAGACGATTCGCAACGACGATTTTTAGCGCAACACAGCGTTGCAACATTGTTGCTACATTGTTTCGAATGGTTACAACATTGTTTCAGCGTTGCAATGCTGTGTTGCGCTAAAATTCGTCGTTTCGATTCGTCACCTGTAACATCACCTTTAGATTGCTTCGAAACATAAATCTTTTCATCCGGATATTGTATGAAAAGATTTGAAGACACGTGCATAGGTTGCGAATTTAACTGCGAGGATTCCATACACTTATTTATTTATTTTTCGGCTGAAATATATGAATTTCACATTGTTCATTTATTAGTTCGTTTTGAGAAAAATAATAGTGTATTATTTTCATGGTTTGAGCGGTTAAGGGGATTCTGACAAATGAAAAGGCTATTACATTCGAAAGTCAACCAGTGATGAAGCAGTTTACTTTTTGTTACACTCTCTTCTTGAAACCAACTCTTTCAAAATCTTAGTTTGGGTGCCTAAAAAACGTCATAACCAACTTTCGGAATTAATACATTATGTGGTTAACTATACAGTTCCATTAAAGTTCCAGTTTCAGTTTTATCCTCCAACCAGTACTCTTCTTACTACGGAACGGAGTTGCATTGATGACGAATACATGATCAATCAATGCGGCGAAAAACCAAACTTATCTTGCGTACACTTCTTCGCTTGTTCACTAGAGACGGTCAATAGTTTTGCGTCATGATTTATCCAAGGGTTCTGTTGGTATGGAGCTTCGTTTAAAAGTTACTCTTATCTCGCAGCAAGTCGGACATCACATGTTTAAGAGAAAAAAAAAACAAAAACGAAAAAATTTATGTTTTAGCTGAAAGTGATGGACTTGAGTGTACCCTATTTTGCCTTTTCAGCCTTGTCCCAGAAACGTATCGATCTGAAGAGCATGTTGGGTGTGTACGTCGTAATGGCTGTTGGCGTAGGTCTTGCATTCATGGCGTTGATTGCAGAAATCTTGTGGAAGAAGAGAGCGGCGAAGTTGAAGATGATTAAATTTAAAAGGTTTGTGATTTTTTTATGATGATGATGACGATGATACTTTCTTATTTTCGTCCTCTTTGGTTCACGCTGTTCATTTCACCATTGAATTCCCAAAATTCTGTGATTTAGACCTTATTGTTAAAACTGTATATCCTACTAGGAGTGTCTCAGGGTACGGGTATGGGAGGTAAAAGTTTGGCTCTTTTTTACGTACTGCCCTGTGAGGTTAATTTTTCTTTTTCTTTTTGTTTGTTTTTTTTTTTTAATGTAATAGATGAGGGATTCTCCCCCACCCCCCAAACCTCTCTCTCTCTCTCTCTCTGTTAAATTTTTTCAGTTGTGTTTTAATTGTTTTCTTTAATAATCTCTCCTTTTCTCTAGGCCGTCGATGCGTACCGTTCACCTGCCTTCTGGGAAATGAATCTATAACTGTTACCAATTGGTTGATGTATAACTACTCTAAGCAAAGCCAAAAATTCTCGCTCAGAGTATTTTCCTGTAGCATTAAGAATTCTGTTTCATTCAGCAAATACGCCTAAATCGAGACTTAAGCATTTCATGGATAACGATAATAGATTACGATTTTTTATTCGCTCCATTCAAGGGACTCTGCAAAGAGGAGCCTGTGCTTCCATTGTGCTTCCTTTCGGCTCGGCAGAAGCACAACGTATGAACTGGGCGCGAGTCTCAGATTTATTTCATCTCCTGCCTGCTACAATAAAATGTTCTATGAGAAAACCTTCGTCTTTCAGTGTTATCGCTAGAAGAAAGTAATCCATTGACAGACAATGAAAAATGGTTTAATTATCTGTTTACCTTACAAGAGCAAAAATTTAAATTAATAAGTGCTTTTTTACAACACATATTGCTTTGCCCGTTTACGGATAATTACATTCAAATCTATGGAAAGTTTACAAGCAGCTCCAGTTGTTTATCAAAACAATTCTTGATATGCGACGATATCGTTAAGACCGACATTTTTTTGGAAAATGCGTGACGAAAACAAGGTCACAGGTACCCAAAGGAGAGGCTCAACTACAACAGTTGCTGTATCTTCTTTCAGTTTACTTCACGGATGCTCCTAACTCTTTGAATGGTCACTCCGCCGTCTTTCTCCATCAACTTTCGGTAGGGGGAGGGGCCGAAATCAACAGAAAAATACCGATATGTTTTATTATTTTCAAAGTCGAGTTTGCAACAATTAAGTTGAATGTCGATAAGAATTCAAGTTTTAACAGTGTAGCACAAAAATAAATTTACTTTTGAGGTGAATTCGAAAAAAAATAGGAACCTTAACGGAGGGATGGAGTTTTTACTGTTCATTTTGTAGAAACTGGACCATACAGGGAAGAGAACTTACTTACAGATCAGAACAAGGTAATACTAGGTAGCGGCACGTAACGGGCTACCCACCTACATCTCATGCATTTTTACTTTGAATTCATGTTTTGCAAACCGTTAACTATTTCATCCTGCATACCGTATTTCCTCGAATAATAGCCGTCCCTCGATTAATGGCCTCCCTAGAATAATCCCCGCCCTTTGACGGAAATACTTAAAATAATCGCCGCCCTCGAATGATCGCCCTTCCCCTGTCCTTCGTTCTCGCCATGTTCTCTTCCTTTTATCCCCTTCCTGTCACGTTAAAGTGCAATGACATTCAGCAAAACTGATCAGTGACGGCGATTCAAGCTCTGAAAATTAATGAAGGACCTAAATTTGGAACACTTAAAAAGCCCATGTTCAATTTATTTGATGTGATTATTTTTTGATTATTTTTAATGGGAAAATAAAACAAAATATTTAGGGCACGACTTCCAGTGAGCAATAGTTTAAATAATCGCCTTCCCTCGAATAATCGGCCCCTTTTTGTGCGAAAAAAGAAATAATCGCCCCCGGCTATTACTCGAGGAAATACGGTGTCTTTTCTTCATCACATACATCTTTTTTACCTCTTTAACTTGTCAATCCCTCGCTGAGATCCCACAGTCGTGAAATGAAGTATGGAGCGTTGAAAAAAACGGCTAGTGCTTGCCTATTTATATGTTTATTTATCAAGTACAGTATATATTGTTAGAACTGGTTGTCGTACATTGCACAAAGACAAGTGACTTAACATTTAAGGATCATTCCCGTTTGCTTCTTTTTCTTTCTCTTCAATGGCTGGAGAGGGGCTGACTTGAATAGTACGATTCGGGAACACTAAAGGCCTGCCAATGTAAAAAAAAATACAATATAAAAAGTATGAAGAACTAGAAACGTTACTAACCGAGGGGTAATGCAAATGCAGTTAAGAATACAATAAAGCACTGCTACAGTACTAGACAGTGTATACAGCTTATATCTGGTCTTAAAATTGCTATTTTTGGCTAGTTCATACTGTTCCTCTCATTTCCCTCTTCAGTTCCTAGCCCTTCGATATGCGGTTTTGGTGTGTTCCAGGGACCGGGTTCAGGTTTTACCCCGAGTTGAATCATGGGACTATTTTAGGGAGACTATCACTTTTTTTTAAAGTAGGCTGCTGCATAGTGGAGCAGAAACTGGGTCCAAATTCGTCCGAGAAAACAGACCCATAGTGCAAAGAGAAAAAAATACATTTTCAAAGAAAAATTAACCATAAAAAAATGCAACATGACGTTTTCGAACATTTCAATGAATTCATGTCTTCACTAAAAGTGAAGACATGAAACTAACATGGTTCGTGGATATTATAAAGTACAGAAAAGAGAGTGCGAAGAAGTACATATGTTGTCGTTCAATTTTATCCTTCGTTTAAATTTTATTTCCCTTTGTTTTTGGGTATGGTAGTGTATGATTATGAGTTTAAAACAAAAGGAAATAAAAATAAAACCAAGGGCAAAATTGAACCACAACACATATACCACAAACAACGTCCACTCAGTAATTCCGATAATGACGTCTGAAGGTTAAATCAGGTCACTTAGTAACCACATATGACGCGGAAACGCTCGCCAGAAAATGACCGGCAACTTGGCTCTACCATTATTACTGTTAAATAGTTCATGTATTAGAATTAATCCACAACCTTATCACCAGTTTGTTCACGATTGACTCTGTTAACTTCTTCTTGTACCAATATCTCTCCACAAGTAGCGTCACGAACGCTATAAACAGTCCCGTGATAAGAACAAGATACACTCCAAGCATACTTTTCAAACCAATTCTCTTTCTGGAAAGTGCTAAAGGGAACCGGAAAGACAAAAACATGTTAAAAGAAGAGTATTTTCCCATCGCTTAGTATAGCTCAAAAGGGAACTTCCAAGAATCTCCTGCAACTAAGTTGATAAACTTATTTTCTGGTACCTTTTCCAGTTTTACGACCAACGGCTCCAAGAAAATGATACAGATTTTACAACGCATGCGCGTGCGCGTGCTTTAGTTAGTTATTTCATTTTATTGTTTATTTACTTTACTTGTTACATTTACTCTGCATTGTCGTTGCTCGTAACTCGATTATACCTAAACTACAACTGTGCTCACAATTTGGGCCACTGGCTCCTCCTAAAGTGATTTACAATTGTTGTAGGATTTAATTTAATGGAGCCAAAACCAGTTGTAGATTTGAACATATTTTAGGCATCCTACTGATGAATATCAACCGTTACGACATATAGATATTCCCAGGAACAGCAATTTACAGTCCATCCCATTCGAATTGAAAAGAAAACAAGCGTGCAATGAAGAAAATCCATGAAAAAATCCAACTATGCGTTTAACCAAATTACGCTATATCCGCCCCTGAAAAGAATTATCAAGGTTTTCAGTCAACAAGCGCAGACAACACTACTGAAAAATAATTATTTAGTCGACACCTTGCCTTTAGAATAGCTCATAAAACTGAAGTGAACTTTTTTATTACTATTATTTTATTATTATTGATTTTTAATAGGACCTAAAGAATTTTAGAGGTTGACAGTTTTTTTTATTGAAATGAAATGTTTTTTAATTCGAATAAATTTTTCTTAGTTTAATTAACTTTTTTTAAGCTAAATGAAGTGCTTTTTAAATCGACAGGAATTGTAAATAGTGTTTTTGAATGAATACTTTTTTTTCCTTTTTTTTAAGCGAATTGATTGTAAATAGGATTTTAATAGTTAGCATTGTTGTCAATAAAATTTTTTCAATGATAAAAAACCTAAAGTATACGCACCCTTTATTTTTATTTAATACACAGAGCAAGCGTATTACATAACACGCCTAATCAGCTGAATTGTAAGCTTGAAGTCACAATGAAGACATTTTCGTTGAGAAAACAGCATAAAAACTTTCTACAGCTGTGCCAATTTGTTTTCGGCTTCAAAGATTAACTTCACCAACATACTTTCTCAGTTTCCAACAACGTGTATATTGGAACACAATTATCGATATCAGTCTCCACGCTAACAAGTTTTGCTTTGACGTCATAAAACGATCTAATTGCTTATCCTTTTTGATGTCACGCACATTTCGTAAAAACTTTATATCATATCTTGAAGATTGTTGCTACGATAACTCTTACAGTTTACATTCTATTTCATCAAGCATGGCAGAAGTTTCGTCTACGGAATCAATCATGTCCTTGACGGCAACAACTCCCGAAAAAAGGAAAAGAGCGAAAAAATTAGAAAAAGAAACAAACATCCTTGAAGAAGAATCTTTAAGCTGTTTAAAATTACCTGAAACTGTCGAAGAAACCGAATATCATTGGACCTCAGAATCCACTGACAAGACAGAAAAACATGAAGAGATGGGAATGACCACAGGAGATTTAAAAAGACATTATGGTGATAGTTCCAATGAAGAAAAACCGAATTTGAAACGGCGGCAGAACTCACTTGATGAAAGTATTGTGGAAGGAGATACCTCTTTGAAGAAATTAAAAATTAGCAGTGAGTCGAAGGAAGAAGACTTGGAAGTTTAACACCGAAACTATCGACCTATTTTCATTCTTTTTCTCCATCAATCCAGTTCGTGAATGTTGCTTTTTTATAGTTTTGTTTATGTCTTCTTTAATATGTGTTGTTTTGTTTATAATAGTTCACGTTTTGGAGACTGATAAAATGTATACCATTGGCCATTGGTTCGAAATATAACTGTTTAGAAGACAAAATATCTTTTACCGGCTTATTTACCCAGCTGACCATAAAAGTTACGATTTGATCAGCCGTTTTGTCACACTTAGGGTACTTGTTTTGTTTTAGTCGAATCTGTTTTCAATTTGCAGTATTTAGCTGTCGATTTATACTCATGACCAACTTTGTGTATTTAAAGCTGAAGAATGGAGTGTCCACGTTTTAAGAGGGATTTTCTATCCCTTTATATAGTTAATTTAAAAAAAGTTTAGACTTTGCACGAGGAGGAGTCTGTAGGGGTTTGTATCATATAAGCTAACTGGTGTGTTTGGGTAGGAGTGTCCAAGTACGTTATGCAAGACATTGTTTTAAAAGTTTGCCATAAAATAAGAATGCCTATAAGATCAGACAAATTTCAAAGATAGTCTTCTCTAAATTTCTCAGTTACCACGCGATACCAAGTGTGAGATTTCATTACTTCTCTTAAATCGCTCTAAGTATATAACGATGAAGGACAGCCCACGAAGGAGCTGCGAGCAATAACCAGAAACGGCGAGGAGCGCGCGACACAAGTAACGGACCGGAGGAAGGCGCAGAAAAAAAATGATCATTTATTGTTTTTCCCGCGTCTTCCCTCGTTGCCCGTGGCTTACGCTACACACTGTACGTCGCTTTGTGGTTCGTTCGCACGCAAAAAAAAAAAAGGCGTCTGTGTTCTGCAGGCTAAATTTTGTTCTATTTTAGAGTGTAGTTAGAATAAGAAAAGAAGATGATCCAGTAGAACTAAATAAAAGAAAGCGCAAAGCCACATGCACAGGTCAATTTGGTATACATCTATAAACAGAAATTCGCGACCGCTATATTATTATTAATGCAAAGTAGTAACATAAGCTAGTAAAATGCGGAATATAGATGCTGGAAAGAAATATATTCCTACCAGTTTCCTCTTCTTTGGGACAGCTGCTTGCGCCATCCCACCATTTACGCTTGAGCCCATCCAAGAAGTCATTTTCATGTAAGCGTAAAATAGTCAGTGTGAACTCGTTCAATGCAGGATCATTTGCCGGGAACGCAAATGAGAGACCTTTTGAAGTGCTTAAGCCGGGGACTACAAAATCAAAGAAATCGATTAATTGTTAAGGTAAGGATGGGGGAATAATATGAGCCCGTTCCTTCCCGTTGTTTTTCTTTCCTTTTTTTTAAGGCTTATGAAAACTTTTGAAAATTAGTTGTTTCTTTTCCTCCCTTGCTTGTTTTGCGTCTGGCTGAACCATTTATTGCTACTCTAAAAGCATTTAGAAGTATAATCTGAAACTTCTCGTACTCTGAAGCAAACTCTAGCCTGTCAGCAAAATATCGGGGCCTTCCATTGTTTGTGGGAAAGACAAACTCTGGTTAATACACTAAATAAATCTATTTAGTTCGAGTTCTAATTGCTGTTTTAATGTCATTGGCCCAAGTATAAACAATTGTTTTGGTTATGGTTTACAGCTACTTAATAAAGCTGTTTATCTTGTTAGCTACATGTAACAACACCATAACAATATTTATTTATACCTACCGATTTTAAGGTCACAAGGTGGTTCGTTAACGATATGCTCAAGTAATGGACCGTCTGTAATGAATACAAAGTCTCCCTCACGCACCATGTTTACTCCCTCATCAGAGTTCTTAACTAAGGTCCTGTCTCTTTCAATCCTCTGCCAGATCTTTTGATGTGTTTCGTATTTGCTCGATTCGAAGAAGCTGGAAGTGCTGGAAGAATCGAGCACCCCTACTTGATAGGACGTTTTAACGATGTCTTCAAGGTTGTTGATAGGACTTTCAGCATTTTTGACGGTGAAGAAGGCAGCGAGATTGGCAGTGTAAGTTGATACCCAGATTAGGATACAAAACCAGTAACAGCCAGCAAGAATGCGCCCTGAAAGAGAGTAATGTTAAGCTATTCACCACGTCAAAAACGAGAAGGAGCTTGGGAGGAATAAACTTTCGCAAAGGCGTCTGGGACTGTTACTAGGAACAGAGAAGAAAATTGTCCAATAGCTGACCCGTGCGCCCCCAGTTACGATCCCAGAAACAATAGACCTTTTTACCGATACGGCGGCCATATTGAATTAATTCGATTAAAGGAGTATTATAGGATGCCTAAGGGGTAAGAGCACATTTCGTTTGTATTTTCGAGCGCTTTTCGGGACAGTTTTTCTTAAAGTTTTCTTAGAATAAGATTGTAATGGGAAAAAAGATCCTTGTGCCGTGTTTGAATGTAATAATGATCGCCTTTTTCTTGTTTAGTATTAGAATTATGGTCTTCCACTGTATATTTCTCGGAAAAAAGGCCATCATTATGACATCCAAACACGGCACACGAAATGCGCTCGAAAATACAAACGAAATGTGCTCATGCCCCCTAGGCATCCTAAAATACTCCTCAAATCAAATTAATTCAATATGGCCGCCGTATCGGTAAAAAGGTCTATTGCAGGATACATTTCGGCTCCACTTGTTTTCTCGTTTCTAAAGTGGCGAATTGGAAAGATCTAGATCTTCTAATCATCTAATGGCGTTTAAGACCGTTCGTCTTTCTCACTTTGATGAAGCTCAGATTTTCCCAAATATAATATCTTGGAGCTAGCTTAGAACATGTAAAAGTCAAGAGGTTTGATTGTAGCTTGTGATATGCTTTTACTTTAAAACGTGCGAAAAATGCCTCCTTGCCTGAAGAGTAAAATATCCTTACATTTCATGAACACAAGATGCAACTGACTCTCGTCGTTCTCTGGGTAAAATTTATCGGCTCTTACAATTCTTATCCCCTTCCCACCCACAATGTGCGTTTGGAGTTGGCCCGAACAAAACTTATTTACCTGATAAGCTCCTGGGGGTATTATCACCTCCCTGCTGTAGCATACAAGCCACTGAGAACCAGAGACTGTTGAAGTATGTAAACTCTTCGGATGTCCCTTCGTTATTTTCATTTTTGTATCCATAAGGGCTGAAATAGTTCACAACATACACAGCAATAGAGATGACGACGATCGTAGCCAGCGTGCAAAACCAAACATTGTTCTCGAACGGGTTCATAAACTGTAAATAATCCACTTTCTCCTCGTTTTTCTCTTTCTTGATTAACATATCCTCAGTGTAGTACATATATGGCATCATGAAGTCGACAACCTTTTCTCGGCTTTCAGTCACTGTCAGAGGGGCAACGGCAATGTCTGCGTTCTTTGGAAACATAATTTCAGTTATTTAATATCATGTCATTGATGCAATAAATTTCCTATTTTGTTTATTTAAAATATCGTTTGGATCCAATCCTCGGCTAGGTTCATTAGAAGAAGAACATAACAGGAACGTTCCCCTATCCCTTTTTTGGGCTGCGTGCAAACGGGTTACAACTCCCAACATTGTTGCGCCAACAATGTTGGGAGTTGTTGCGTGCGTGTTGGCAGTGGTGTGCAAAGGGATGCAACAACTCCCAAAAAGTCTGGGACCTGCAGTGCATCGTGAGAAGAATACAACCCATAGGTCTTTGTAATGAGCGTGCGTTGCCCCCTACAATGTTGGAAGAACCGTGGAAGCGGATCCAACATTGTTGCACTACGTTTCGGCGATCACAGAACAAAAGAAATGTTGGGAGTTGTTGGCGGAAAAGTTTGACCGGTTTCAAACTTTCGCAGCAACAAGCAACAACATCCAACAACATGTAACAGGGTGTGTAAACGGATGCAACATGTAACATCCAACAATGTTGCGTCCGTTTGCACGGGGCTTTACGTCGTCGTAATGATTATTTTCCCCCTCCTATAGTACAATTGGATAAACAAAGTAGGAATAAATGAATTATATATTCTGCCTCGTCCCAAGTCATCTCTTTTGTCTCCTGATTAAATGTTAACGAGGGATGCGCGCGTAGAAGATGCCCTCGGGGGGAGATGGGAAGTAGCGCAATACAAATGATTAGAGACGACTGTGGACGAGTCAGGAAATATGTTTCACATATCCTTTTTTTGTGGATGGGAATCTAAACTACACACCAGTGAACTGGAAAAAAATGGTAAATTAGAGAGATTTAGAATCCCGTTTACGGCAAGCACCAAACACCAGCTTGTACCATGTGACCAAGTTTTCCTTTGACTGACATTTTGCCGTTTAATATTTCTAACAGAACAACAGGATGTTTCATGTCAGGTTAATCCATAACAATAATTGTTACACCTAATTCAAGAAATTGCCTTTTTTATTTGAATCTGACGCTTTGTTGTAGAACATGGTTTTAAATCTCGCTATTTTAACTGACAAAATTTATGCTGGGCAGATCGAGCGAGGGAATATATAACGAAGAAAACATCAGGCCGAGGTTGTTCAAACGTTGGATAGGTAAGCGCTATCCACTAAATATTCACTATCCAGCGGATAAGTATTTGGGAAACCATTTGCACTATCCCACTGGATAGAGATTTATCCATCGGTTTGGGCTATCCAGCTTTTGAACAACTTGGACCAGAAAATAAAGTGACAGTTTTGCAAAAAAAAAAAAATCCCTTTCTGCATCACTCGATCCCCTTCTTTTCTTTCTATCCTATCTCGAAACCAAACAAGGGATATCACAAACCCAATCAAAATAGAACATCACAAATAAGCCAAGACAAAAATTCCACATATCACAAACCCCTCTGACAAGTTCGCCAACCATTCCGTTCCATGTTCCATTATCTGTCAGACCCCCATACTTCCCATCTCGGACCTCGTAGATCTCGTAGGAGAAATGGAGAAGTTTTTGTAGCTCATTCATCAGATCAATACAGTATCCTTTGTACTTCATGGTACCATCCTCTTGCTCGTCGTGCATTACGAACGGTGGATCCTGTTTTTATGACGAAAAGAACACCAACATAAAGAAAATTGACCGAATTTGAGTTGTTTACGATTGCTATTACACTTGTCCGTACTACTCGAGTAACAGAAGGATATGGCGTGAATATAAGTGGCTGCGTTTAAGTAAAGAAAGACTGAATGGACATCAAGAAACAAGTCGTTGAGTAATAATCGATGCTTAAGTATATCCAAGTTAAAAATGCTCAAAAATAATATGACAAATGGAGAACTGAGGGAGAAAAAAAATGTTGTCATTGTCATTACAAGTATAACTACAGTCTTGAGCTTCCTCCCCGCTAGAGTTATTCCTGATGGCGCACTTTCCGCATTTCGTAAAATGTTTGTTGAAAGTACTGCGAGCTTCGATGCATTCCAAGTCCCAATCTGAAGACAAAAGCCGGAAAAAATTATTGCATTAACGAGTGGATTTCAAGAGCTTTACTCTTTAATGAAGTGAATACAGAGTTACGTGGAGTCTAAGAGGCCATAAAATTACTGCGCAACTTACTGTTATAAAGGAATTGTTGCGAAGATTCAGGATTTCGAGTTCAACCTGATCAGTTCTCATTCCGTCCTTGTCCAGCCTAATGGAACCTGTAACACCTTCAATGTTGACCTGTTGATGCAAACGTTTAATTACATCCCTTCTAATCCTCTTAAATCCTTTTGTTTTCTTTTTTTCTCTTTCTTTCTTTTTTTTCAAATGTGAGAGTGGCTAATCGTCGGTAAGAGGCTAGTTACCTACGTCGGAACAACAGAGTATTTTGTGGGTCCGCTTAAAAGTCTCGGGTCTTCTCCAATGGAACGTCCCATGTAAGGGAACCCAAGCACAGTCTTGGATTCTGGATTCCACGCAGTGAATTGTGGATTCCAGGTATTGGATTCGGGATTCCCTGTTAGTAGAACTTTCATTCCGCATTTTGATGGTAAGTTACTGGATTCTGGAATCAGGATTTCCTTACATCGGGCAAAACGGAAGAGTTATTTCGGACGGAGAAGATATTTATATACTAAGCAAGAGGTAAACTATTCTGAATATGAGAAAGAGGTCGTCACCTCACAGGCTTCGTTCAGGGAGAAAAATAAGCTATCTCAGTTATGCAATACTAAAAAGGTGCTAAATGAGGTCATGATGTCCCGAAAGTAGGATTTTACAGTCAGCTTAATAGAATTGACCATTGGCAAAACGGACTCTTCGCTTTCACCTGTTTTATGCAATTTAATATCGCAGCTGTGTCTTGTGAAGTTACAGCAGAGCCATTAATTGAAGAACATGAAGCTGAGTTTACTGCTTTGCTGATAACTTTACTCGCATCATAGGCCAACGCCATCGCATCCTGTGAATTCCAAAAATAAATATTGGTGAAAAGATACCTGTGGTTTTTTACTTAGGAGGTGCTCATGTCATTAACGCCAAGTAACAAAGTACTGGGTGAGCAGCTAACCCTTGAAGGCAATCGAGGGTAGAGCCGGGTGTGCCGTAGAGGCCTTCAAATACTGACCCTGTTTAAGACAAAAACCTTTCGTTTCCTCTTTCTATTAAGGAAGGTAAACAGCGAAATTGTATAGTTTACCCTTTTTAAGGCTCAGGACCATGAAAGCGACGTACCCTGTTCTACACTCGGAATATTCGTTTTGGATAACTGATATAAGGGAGTGCCCAGGTGAGTTTGTTGAGTCGTAGATCAATGAACGATGACATGACTACAAGAGTGGGTGATGCTTTGAATATCCGTTTGTCCAAAATTTGCTTTGTCCAAGGGCTAATATACAACTTCAAGACTAACTGAGATATATAGTGTATCCTGGTGATGCTTCAAACTTACGGACGTACGTTTTGAGAATTGTTATATTGACTTCCAAATGCTGCTTTGATTGTATTTAAATCTGAGCCCTCTTTGAGAGGAAGTTTCATTCCTAACACCACACTGTTATCGCGAGCGGTTAAGTTCATAGGGACCTGGAAGGAGAAAAACCATTGAAAGCATGTTTACAAAGTAAAGGTCCCTAACTCTAAGAAATGTTATTTCTCATATAACAGGTACCACCATTTGGTCCGCACACAACTTAACCATGAATAGCAAACGCAAAAAAATAATAAACTTATTATATTTCATTTTTTTTTTTCCATCAAAGAAAATGTAAACTATATGATAAAGAAAGAAAAATATACCACCGTGTATGTGCCGCCCCCGTGGCGCAATGGATTAGCGTGTTGGACTTCTAATTCAAAGGTTGTGGGTTCGAGTCCCACCGGGGGTGGATTATTATTTTTTATTTATTTTTTTTTTCTGATCGACTATCATTTTGTTCTACTAACGACCCGTATGGTGGATTTTATTGGTGTATCCTTGGAATCTTTTGGCAACGCTACAACTGGTATTTCGAGGAAAATTTAAGGAGAATTTTTGAAGTAATGTTTATCTGTTCTCTCCTGTACCCTATATACAGCCTATTTCGACAAAGTTTATCGGAAAAAGCAGTGTATTGTTCATATCCCATTTTACCTTTCGGGATCGTCGCGTGCACATTTTTTTTTTCGACAACCTTTCTCGAAATAGCTGTATAAGGTTTCGTCTGTGGGTCAAACCGGTTGTCCCGGCAGGCGGCAACCAGATGACTCCAGTAGTCTCGGTCTTCAGCAGCACGTCGTATTTCTCGTTCCGTCAGTTTTACGGAGCCTCCCTCAATGACCCTTGAGATGTATTGTAAAAACAAAAGTTTCTGGCCGCCAACACTGGCATCTCCCTTCAGATGGTACATACAGGGCGAATCGATCTGTTGACATGATCCTCCTTGTCGCTGCGAAATGAGTGGCCAAGGAAGCGGAGCTGCTGTCCTTTGACCTCAGATGACAGGGGTTAGCTAGAGTCCACGTCTCCGACCCATAATGTCGAAAACCACTCAGAACAGTACACTTGTAAAGGCGAATCTTGATAGCCGATTGGCAGGTTAGACTTTCAAATACCCTCTTATCTCCAAAAGGCATCCCATTCCTGACCTTGGCGTTCCTTAGCATCGTTCTCAGTGGTGGCAATATAAGAACCTACTAGGTATTTGAAATCATCTAGGAAGTCAAAGTCGATGTTGTTAACTCGCAGGGGAGGTGACCTTCGATGATTGAGAACCAAGACTTTGGTTTTTGGGGGCATTGACATGGAGGCCAACATCTAAAGCAACCAAGACAACTCGATCGAGAAATTTTTGAGTGTCTCTTATACTTGATAGTTACATAGCAATGTCATCTGCATAATCAAGATCACTGAGCTTATATTCTGGTTGCCTTCATGACTGTCTAGAAATCATGACGAACCCAGGATTATCAACGGTAGCGTGGCACATAACTCAATCCAGAACGATTACTAGAAATACGTATCTCGCAAAGATTGGCGCCAAAGTTTCGCCTTGAAGTACACCAATGTTGACATCAATTGATTTAGAGACACTGTCACCAATTAGAACGGAACTCTTAGTGTTGTTGTAAAGTAACTGACTATCTTTTTGGGGATTCCATAAGAGCGAAGTATGTCCAGCATTTTACTCCTGATAATGCTATCAAAGGCTTTCTTGAAATCCACGATGACGAGGATGAGAGGGAGGTTGAACACTCCTGAGCCGTCGATGACACAACGAAGAATATGTACCTGGTTTAAAGGAGATTTAACTTTTCGACTTGAAACTTTGCATGCGGGAAATACTTCTTAAAAAATGTTCTTATCCGTTGTCACTAATGAGCTATCTTAGTCAAGTGACTTGTCACGCCCATTTTTTGCCGTTTAGTTTGGTCCAATTTTACGACATTTTACAAATACTAGTTGTGATTTATTTTGTTTTCTTTCAATAACTATTAACACAAGATTTATGGAATTCATCGGGGTTACGAACTGAACACAACTTTCGGTGCTCAGTTAACCGCTCTACCATTGGTCAAGCTGGTCTTAGGCTACGCTAAAACGGGCAACAACAACAAAAAATACTTTGAATTTTTCTAAATAGAAAATGAATACAAAATATGTATGTCTACCTCTCCTTGAAGAATCCAATTAAATTCGTTTTTATTGCCACAGGGTTTCTATTGGAAAAGTAAAGAAAATGAGAATCAAAGCTCCTTAGTGTTACGTGGGTAAATGAATAAACCATTGGCAATTATTGAACGAGGTTGAGCAAAATATCGTGACTTGTCAGTGGCAAGTAGATCAGTTGATCTGCGTGATACTGTCAAATCACGATATTTTTGCAATAACCCAGTTCAGTAATTGTTTTATCAATGAATGTCTTCGGGAAGCGTGGTTTCATTTACGCATGAACAGAATATTATTTGCAGCCAAACAAAGTTGGACGAAATTGCGCATGAGTAGACCATTATTTGTAGACAGTTATTTGAGGATCACGTGATAAGCTCTCGGCCAATGAATAGGAAGAAAAACTTGCAACAAATGATAGTTGCTGTTCTGAGAAAGGTGTGTAATAATAGTGAAATCTTGAGATAGTGTCAAAATTTACTTCATAATGTTTCTATCAGCCATTTTGGATCCAATACACCCTGTTTGCCCTCAAATGTTATTGTTTTCAAATCCAGGAGCATTTGAAATCAATATCTTAATTTTTTTTTTTTTTGAGGTGGGGTGGGGGGGGGGGGGGGGGGAAAAGGGGGTTATGGGGGGGAAAGAAAAAAAAAAAAAAGCAGAAGGAGGGGGAGGAAAAACAGAGGGAAGAGGCAGGGTGGGTGGGGGAAATAAGAGGGGGAGGGGGGAAGAAAACATTAAAGGAGTGGAGAAGTGATTTGCACATCATTATAAAAATTATTTACATATGATATGTTTGTTGTTTTGTTTGTTATGAGATTTGTATGTGTATGTTTGTTGTTTTTGTTGTGGGTTGGGTTTTAGGGTGGGAGGAAGGGGGCTCGTCTGGGGGGGGGGTGCAAACAGAGTGTATTGTGATGAATTAAAAAAAAAAAAGCAGGAAAGAGGGAGAGAGAATAACCCCAGGTCAAACTCGTTTCTCCCTTAGAAAATTACGGGAAGGTGGGGGAAAAAACTCTAGGGACGAGTGGACTGCACTCATGAGGCATTAAACGGGCACCCATCCGGAGAAAACTCTGCAATGAACTAGCATTTAAAGTGCACTGTTAGCATTCAGCGTTGTTTATCTCCTTAGCAGGATAGTTTTCATTATTAACATTTTTTATTTATTCTTTCTTTTTTTGTGGGTACATCCCTAATCGTAAGTATGAAAGCGAACGTAGTCCAACAGGCGGAAAATGCAAAACATACAATTACATCTCTGTTGATCTCATAAACAGAAGTCGTGAAAATTCACCGCTCTCGAGCCCTCCTTAGTCTTGGAAATGTCATGGGCAATGGACTGCAGCTTATAATTCACGAAATGCTCTTATCAGGGAAGTTAACGTCATTCGTATTGATGTCAACAGAGAAAGACACTCGGCTGATTTGGTAGCAGTGTATGGAGAAAAATTAAACGCGAAAGATTTCACACGTTATTCGAAGAGAAAATCGGAACATTGCCTAAAAACTTCAAGAACAGGCAGAAAACCACTAAATGGATGACAAGTGCAGCTATCTGTGGAAATAAACATCCTTAATGATCACCTGTTGCATGAGTAGTTCAGTGTACTCTTGGTCAGCGTACAATAATATCATGTCAGGTTCAAAACTGCCAAGTTGTTCAATCGCTGTTGATATTTGCCCTTTCCCTGGAATCTGCACAAATCCAACCGTGAGCTTCGAGCTCTGGGATATGGCATAAAAGTATCCAGCTTCGTGCAAACGGTTCTCTGAAAGAAAGATCATCGCGGAAGAAAGAAACTCTTACTATTATACTAAAAACGAATAAAAGACTGTCAACGGATTTAAGAATTTTGGAACGCAAATATATTGCCAAAAAGAGTTTTCAAAGCCATTGCTTTTAAGTTTTTCTAGTCGGCCGAGGATTGGGAATTGTAGGGGACGTTTTGTCGAAACTTTAATTTGAGGAGACCTTTCTTTTTTTTTTTAACAATAATGGTCAATAATCGCAATGTCTTGGTATTAAAATGTGAATAACACAACTTCCGAAAAGCGTAGTTAAGCTACTAGAATGACCTCGATCCGAATATTTTAGACGAATGGAACGGTTAACGTAAAATCTATGTCGATTTTAAACAAATTTTCTGGTTACTAGTAGTAACTGAAAATTTAGGGGAGTGCGTCCGGCAGTGATTTCACTGAACCATTCACGTGATTTTTTTGCAAACGAGACTAAACCTTAAAACCGAGGCAAAACGTAGATACCAGTTCCTCGGCTGGCCGAGAAAAAGCCCCTGAAAAATCTGCGGGGAGGCTAACAGTGAGAGCGAGGAGGAATTCATCCTTCGGACTCAATCATTAGCAAAGTACAGTGGACTTTGAAATATAGATAGGCGTAGCAGCAATTCATGATTTTTCTAATTATATTCCTTTACCATGATATACTAAAGAGATCTTTTTCCATTGGAACGTGTTAAGTATATCAAGTGAAGCATGTGCATAGGCTTTGTATCCCGCTGACAACTGTACCGCGTTTTCACATTGACCAGGTGGGTTGCTGTCTCCATGGAGACGAATAAGTGGAATGCCGGTTATTGTAGAAAGGGCGCATGCTGAAGTCTTAGTATGGCTTCCCTCGATAACTGAAAGGACGTTTAGTTGATGAAGTAGAGATGCTGAAAATAGAATGATGTAGGAAGTTAAGGTAACAAAGATGGAAAACAACAAACAGTACCCACATCACATTGGGACTGATACATTTAATAGGTTATTCTTTTACTCATGGATAAAATCGGAACCACATAAATGCTTGTAAGATAAAAACGTTTCCATTTTTTCCGACTTGGCTGTTGTTATGACTCCATGACTCCACTTGCGACTAATAAAATTGAAGTCCAAGTTCCTTTCTTGAATCTCGATCAGAGTCGAACGAGAAGCAGAAGCGGACGATGCTGATAAACTAATCACAATTCTCGTTTCTACACTTTATTTTATGCTTGGTAACTTATTACTTCTTACGCGCTAATCCCGCAACTCCGCCATTTCTTTAATACGTGAGCAACGGGGTTCAGCGCAAGCGCAGTCGGAACGTCCTTTTTATTCACTGTCTTCTCCCCCGATTACGGCTCAAATTCTGTGGCCAGTGGAAACATTCTACAGGTTGCATTTCTCTGGGACGATCTGGTCCTGTAAATTGCGTGATACCCCAACCATTTTCTAGTTCTAATGCATCATCACTCTTCTTGATGTGTAAAGTAACTCTTCTGTGTAAAATAACTCTTCTTGATGTGTAAGACGTTGAAGAGTAATTATATAGATGTAGACGGTCACGTGCTTACATATCTTCTACAGTACTAAACCACTGCCCGTTTCATCTGGTGATTTAGCGGGCAGAGACAACAAGTCATGCAACAACTTATTCTAAATAAAAATTAGTTTAATCACGTAACTCCCACCTTGATTGACTAAGTTTGTATCGTTTGTGATGGTGAAGTTCTTCAACCTTATGGCAACATTATTTACACCAGATGACGAGTTTACTGCAAGGCTCAGTGCATCAAACTCACTAAATTCATGTTTTGCGTTAATGAAACCTGAATCAAAAAGAACAAAAACAAGGTTTATGTCCCTAATCAAATATTCACTTTGGCATCACTAGAATTAAAGAATGAGAATCGGCGATTTTTTTTTTTTTTTTATGCGGCTCTCCAAAATAACGCTCGTCATATAAATGTTCATTTTTGGTAAACTTCGTAAGTGACAAATTGACTTAACACTTTCTTCGGTGACTAAGTAACGTGTAAGGGGCGAAGTGCTACGCAAGTTTCTTATTTTAAGACAGTTTTGTATATGCACCGATCTGTTAGACGTGGTAATAATTTTAGCCTAATGTTTGCATTTATAAGGGGATCACGATGGTCGGAAATGGGTGTTTTGTTCCAACCCAATCTTTCAAAGACCTGCAGAATTTGATAGGAGAAGTCAAATGAAACAAAACCTGGCACACTTAAAGTTTGGAACATTGTGCATCTAATTACAGAAAATTTTGCATTTGTGTCGAGCAGTATGACGTCACAAATGACGTATAAACGTTACGTCAAATTTTGATAATTTAAAATCCATTTTAATTTGTGTGTACTTTTAATCTACTATAAAAAAAAGATGGTTGTAGGTGGAAACCCCATCTCTCTTTTCTCGTGACCACTTATACAGACTTATGATATGTATTCTAACTAAAGGTACTGTAATACATGACTAGCAGTATTCAGAGTATTAAAAAGAAAGAACAAAAACAAATCGATCCGATATGCGAATTGGTCTGTTTGACGTACCACAGGTGAATATCTTGGTCATGTGCGCCTTTTCAACAAATAACACCACTGTCATCAATGATACGACGAATAAGTTTACGTCCATTTTTAGATTCCTAAACGAAAGATGGAAAAGCAACGTCAAAGAGTCCATTTATTTTAAGCGTCTACAGGGTGTAAGGTTGATTTTAATATTCAGAACGTTTTTGCATAAGTGTCATTATTTTATTTCTTATCCTGTTCCTATTAAAGACCTCTTAGATAAGCAAGACTGTAAAATTTTCGGTGACAAAAGTAATTTTGGTATTTAATCACGCAGTTCTCCCCATACATCCCTTTTAAAAAAAGACTGTTTATACCATCTACACAAAAGAGTATAGGGAGCTTTAGCATCGGCGACGGCGACGACAGCGAAAAAGTCACTTTTAAAATGAATTTGCGTTTTTTCAAACTTTGTCGCGTTTATTATTCCAATTCACTGAAAATGTGAAATGTGAGCGAATTTCCTGGACTTGTTTATGTTCTCCATAAATCGTGAAATTAGGCATTTTCACGTCGTAGTCGTGCAGTGACGGAAAAGAAATGTACAAAAAAAGCGTGATGCACGTGCAAAGTTGTTGTTTTGCTAATCAAACCTATTGTTTTTTTTCCCATTTTCGTTGCCGTCGCCGTCGTCGTTGCTAAAGCTCCCTAATGTGCGCGGCCTAAAGTATAAATACTGATCCAGTGTTATTATGCTACCTTCGTAAATAGATTGATGGTTAAACATAACCTTAGTATAGAATAGTAAGGATTTAATGATTAGTTTATTTATATATATTTTAGTGACCTACAACTCAGGGGGGGTTACGTTCATGCAATGAATGCAGTTTGCTCAGATGTCGCCACGTGACCTCAGCCTAGATACGTGTTTGTATAAGTAGGGGGAATCTGACCTGAGATCGTAAAGAGCGAGTAAGAAAGCAATGGCCTTTGAGTCACAGATAAAAATACTTTTTTCAAAGATCAAGCATGACTAAAGTAGCCTGAGCTTGGTGATCGCCTTACTTTGACGCCGCATTGCTAAAATTTGGCTTTGGATCTACTCGCAATCGCTCGTTTTCTTCACTAGCCAATCCGAAGCACAACAGTCGCCGTCACGTGACATTCTTCTACCGGCTTTCCTTCTCTTTCGACTGGGTGCATACTTAAACAATGAGTTCTCAGTTTCTTTAAAATTCTTCTTAGGCTTTGTTTTGGTTTGACCGATCCAGTCAATTTAAAAGTTGTGGTTGTTTGGCACTGCTGACGAAATTTTCACTTTAGTTATTGATGCTTCAATACATCTATTGTAATGAACGTTACATTTTTGCAGTTAGTTTCGTGAATGTACACCTAGTAGTAGGTCTGACTCTACATAAAATTCTTATTCTGTTTGGTTGATTATTCAAAGACCTCCTTAGTAGTCTAGTTTTTCTCTAGTTTGGAACTGCATGTTTTAACTTTCCTCACACGATTTTTAACATTTCAGAGGCACCCAACGAGCGAATGTTTCCAAATACGCCAGCAGTGTCTCAGATGGTTTTCTCTATGCTTTAGAAGCCTGTTTATTTAATTTGGAGTTGCCCTAAAAACTATTTATCTGTTCGGATGTCTTAGGGGAACTTTGGTCGTCACGAAAGTTTTTGTTGGCTTTTTCGTCTCATCCGAAAGTGTTAGCTACCCTTAAGGGTCCAGTCGAAAGTTCGAGGACATGAAGTATCCTTGCTTTGATTATTAGGGGACTTCTTATCTTCATACCGAAAATTTAAGGAGACCTTTTTTGAAGATATCTTGGTTTTAAAATGTGAATAACACTACCTCTTTTTTTTGGCTTTTCTCAAGCTTTAGAAATTTCTAGGCAATATATATTTGTTCCTTCGAACAGTTATTTTACAGAAAAAGTCGCTGGGTACCCCTGGCATTTTGCCTCTTCATGAAATTTCGATGACTCAGTGTGACGGTTAAAGATAAGTTATTTCTTTCGTGGGACAAATTTCACAGAGACTGTTCAAGGAATGAAGTCTTAATCCATTTTCTAAAATTAGCAACAAACTAAGATTACGGTCCCCTTATTTCTGAGATCAGAGTAGACTGCAAAACAGTCGGTTTTTTCCTCAAAATCAGTAAAGAAATCTGTAAAGCGCGGAGTAAGAATCTTACGCGCGCGAAGCGCGCGAACCGCACACGCCCAAAGGGCGTGTGAGGCAAGAGAAGTTTCGCCTCGCGTCTCTCCCCAGTCTCGCTCTCTGTTTTCAGCCTCGTTCTTTGTTTGACTGCTCGCGCGTACTTGAATACGCAAAAATACGGACTGTTTTGCAGTCTAAGATCAAAACAGTAATAGCTAAATTGTTTGTTTTATACTGTATATAGGTTACGAACCCCCGTGATGACGTTATCAAAATATATATCGTTTTGGAGGTCCTATTGTCTGCATTGTTATAATGAAAAATAGTAGAACATTTTCAATACACAGAATAAAATTTTCCTAAACTTCCGCCAAGTTGTGCTATTCAAGATAATTAGCTAACGGTATTTAGCATGTCCAAATTCGATTCTAGGATTTCAGATCTGAAACTATCTTATTATACATGGGGCCCCTGTTGAGCAAAGTATCCGAAGGTTATGTTATGGTCTTCAGTTCTTAGCTTTTTTTTCTGTTTTAATAAGTCTTTTAATTTTATGCAACCTAAAGTTTATTAGGTTATTAGTTGCGAACGTTTTTTTAGGTTGAACTGATACTTCGAAAAGTTTAAACTCACTTTTAGTGTTATTTAAATATTTATGTTTTCTAGCTTTTCAACACGGTGAAGGAATAGAATCAGCAAATTTGTAAACGTCTACAATTTAAAAATCTAGGCATTTTCATTATAAAGAGTATTCAATAATTATATGCTGGGAAAAGACAAATTAAAATTGATAGGGTCAACTTGAAGGCAAACGTGTCAGTCAAATAACTTGAGAATACATTTATATATATATATATATATTTTTTTTTTTTCATAAATAATAAGAAAAATATATACTAGAAGTTCTATCTTTCTCAGTTGAAATCGACCACTTATGACCACAGTTAATACTGCAAATAAGGAACCGCGGATTAAGAACCTCCAGGCTAAAATTTGGTTCAGAATCATATAGATACATATGTGAGCGCGGCCAATTTAAGAAGCCTGCTGCTGCAAATCAGGGATATACTTCTATGCGGTGTCTTACTGTACTTTCTGTACAATCAGTTATAAGTAAGTTAAATACAGTACACGCTAACATAAATGCAGAGTGTGCAGCTTTCGTTTCAACTAACTACTTTCACAATGGACATTTGTAAACGATATGAAAGTTTCCCTCGCACATTTCTTTCACTGAATTAATTTTTGAACTCGAGATACATGGGACATTGCGTACCGCCACCTACCCGTAAATCACTCAAAGCACGGTCTCTGACATCTTATGAATAGCGCCAGGATGATAAACTCCCCCTTTTCACTATCGTTGTCTAATCATATGCTCTCAAAATGACTTAAGAATTTTATCATATCTTTTACTAAAATCAAGACCGACTTTGAAATGTTATCAATAAACCAACTAATGTTGTATTTTATGAAGCGATTTACCACCAACTGTTTTCATAACTGAATGACTGAGTTCGACAATGAATATTTTAATTTGCGTCATCTGCCTTAGAACCCTACAGAGCTCTATACAAGGCACCTGCAACTGAGTCTTTTACCAGGCAGTATTGGTAGACATATAATAATAATAACAATCTTTACACAGGGAGCTCACTTCACAAAGAGTGATATTCAGTGAGGCCCTATAAAACAATAGAGAAAAAAATGATCTTAGATAGATGAATGCATAATAGTAATAATAACTAAAAAGTTAAGGACTAAAACCCTAAATTATACAAGCTACAGGTTGAAAATGTTAAAATGTCAGATAGATTAAAATATTAAAAGCTATAAAATATCTGAAATATATAGCTTATACTTAATAATGTTTTGTTTAAAAAGAAGAAGGGAGTTAATTCCTTTAAACGATTCGTCTAAAATGTTCCATTCCTTCGCGCTTTGATTAAAAAAGTGTCTGCTTTCCGTGATTCCTTTTGACGAGAGGAAGACGGAAATCGTTCCTTCTTCTAGTGTTATAAGTCGAAGAGAGGTCTTATTAGGGACGGACCCTTAGAAAACTTATGGGGGGCGGGCGAATTACAAAAAAATATATTCGCGCAAGGGAAAATTAAATGAAAAAAAAATTCATGCACGCCAATTAACCCCCCAAAAATATTCA